ACAGGTAGGTAGGCAGGTAGGGCAGGTTCAAGGGAACGGATTCTGTCGCGCCGACACCGCCATTCCTACGAGTGCCCGCTGGCACGAGGCCGGTTCTTCAGCATCTTCCACTTGGCTAATCTGGTCTTGTACATCTTTGCCCTGCACCGAGTCATCTTTGGTTAGCCAGGTTGAAACTCGGGAGTGAGGGCGAAAAACTCTCCCTCCCTCCCTCTCTCTGACTGCTGGGAGAGGGACGGGGAAAGGGGAGTCGGGTAGGTAGGGTGCCTGGGTGGTGGTAATGACATACGTCGCGCGAAACCCGTATTCCGACTCCATAATCACGACGACGTCCTTGAGGGGCCTCTTCTCGTCCAGATAGAGGCGCCGTATGGTCTCCTGGTAGTAGTCCCAGTCCTCGGGCGTGGCCCAGTTGGGATGGCGGGAGTAGTCGTCTTGTGTATCGTGGATACATAGATTGTCGATGGACATGGCGTGTGATGGCATATTGTCGGTGGTGGGGGTGGTGATGACGATGACGACGATGATGATATTGATGGAGATGGTGATGGTGATATGTGGTGATGATAGGGTGAAAGCGTAGCGTGCTCGGAAGTCAGGCAGATCGTCTTGTGAAGGTGATGATGGTTCTTTAATGCGTCTCTGGCATGGCAGACTTCCCTGAGGACCACATGGCAGCCAGGGGGGAGATGGCTCCACGGCCATATATAGTAATTACTCAGAGGAGCGGTGGTTCTCCTACTCATACCTACTCCGTCACGGACGGTGTCCATCGCGGAACCTCTGGCCACAAACGCGCGAAAGAACCGCGCATAGAGGAGTGATGGGTACAAACACACTGACACAGAGACCAGGAAAGACGCCATCCCGGTCTATGTTTTTTCCCCCTTCCCCAGCGTAGGATTCAGCCAAGCGGGCGATTGGTGCGTGAAGGAAGTTCAGCTACCAAGGCGAGAACCATGCGTCGCAGGCGTGGTGCCACGATATGCGCAGGGTAGCAGAAGATACTTCAGACTCGGTAACTCTGCGAGCTGAATCCTTCCTAAAGCAAGTCATGTACTGTAAGACAGACCCGTCCCATGTGGTCGGCACCCAGCTCGCAGCAACGCAGCAACGCAGCCAGCAGCGCAGTACCCTACGCATGACCATGACCACACTAGGCCATGCAAGGATCTTCACAGAGGATCGCCCGCCAAATGTTAATGTGGCACGGGCACACTGGCACCACCTGCTACCTGCTACTAGCAAGCCACCTATTGACGCCAGCGACCCAGCTATCCATTCTCGCGTGAGACAGCCGCACTTGCGAACCCGTCAGTGGTCACCATTTCCGCATTTGTCAATCGGACTTAACACGCCGCACTTGACTCGAGCGTGCTTCGGGCCACATCAGCCAAGGTGGCCAGCCAGTGTAACCGTTGGTCTGCACATATCAGGGAGGCGGCGAGGACGGGCTGAGATGATCCATCCGACCTCTCGGTCTGATCAGTGATGATGAATCAGACATCAGACAAATTAAATATCAGGGCAAAAGGGCAAAGGACTGGCTGGCTGGCGTCACTCACATAACCACAGCTGATGATGAGCGCCACGCACCGGCAAGGCTCCGAAACTCGCCTGGTTTGGCCCGTATTGACTCCCTTCCGTCATGCATTGTCCGAGGGAGCCGCAAGGTGGACGCGACGAGAGGCGCCACTCATCCCTTCTCGAACAACAAACATACCAGGTGGCGCTCCTGGTCAATGGGAAGAAGGATCGGGTTCGTCCCATTCGCTAGCCTTATTACACATTGATCCTAATGCTCCTCAACAACGTGGCCTGGAGAGTGGAGGAGGACCCCGGCAGCTCCTTACAGACATGGTCACCATGCGACTGCTGCTGTGTGGCTTGGATTTGAGCCTCCGTCGTTGCTGTAACCTGTCGTGACGTTGGACCAGCAGGTGCATATGCATATGCAATGCACGAGGATCGGGGTTCTATGGTTCTGCGTTTGTTAGAGAGATGCGCTGCGCTCGTGACCTACTGTGTATACGAAGGATTGTTTCGTGTGGGCATTCTTAGTTGATGGAGTTCATGCCCACGTGGGGAAGGATTCAAATCCTCGTCACTACGTATGAAGGGATTGGCGAAGTTTCAGAGGGCTGAGGAACGTGGAGGCATTGAAGTACCAGTTGCGTGCCCCCGGGCCCTCCGATTCTCGAGTCCTGTCATCGCCATGTCAGCAACATCTACGACGCAGCGAACATTGCAACAGTTGACGGACAGCGAAGCTCGTTGCGAGCCAACGAATCCGGACCAACTCGCGACTCCGCTGCAACATGTCAGCAGATCGAGCAAGCCGCAAGTCAAATGTGAATCTTCAATGTGGTTGCAGCTGCAGGGGTTCCCACGAGCTGGCACGCAGTACTACCACAGGTCACGATGGGGGCGGCCAGTCGCAACTGCTGTAAACTGCAACAGAAGAGTGCTGGCTGGCGTTTACTGGTCAGATAGATTACTGATCCTGGAAGATGGTCACCATGCTACGCCCCGGATGTGTTCTTGAAGGCCATGTGCAACTTCGACGTAGCCTTTGCTCGCTGGCCCATGACGCTGCCATGGATATCCACGTCTTTGGTGGTATGATGCTCTATTGATCGGGGGCGGCTCGCGAAGGTCGCAGTCGTCGCAGGCAATCTACCAATGGAGAAGTCCTGACGTAGTCGCCAACACACTGTCTCATACGGCCCCTGACCCGGCGGCAGATGGCCGCGAAGGGAGCAGCCGGTCAATGCTGCAGCCCCGTTACTGTGGGGTCCGTCCGGAAGCGATCACCGCATGGACATCCGGACCAACGATACCTCGCACTGAGGAGAATATCCTCGTCGATCCCGTCGTGACAGGTCGATGCCCATCGGCTGCTGCTAGACGCGGCTGGGGACAATGGGCAGGAATTGACGTCAACTCGTATTCGTGTAATAGACTATTAAGGTGGACAGGGTCGCGACCGGCGATGTTGCCGAATGTTGTTGGGCGTCTCGATAAACAAGTTGTGTTTGTTTGGGTCAAGCAGAACGCGAGCATGATGGCAACAGAGGATAGAGCCACTTTAATGCACAGAGTGGCGAAGTATCTCCACGCGAGGCCTTCAAGGCTGGAAACAAACACCACGAAGAGGCGGCCCGGTGTAGGAACCTTTGCGAGTACATCCTTTTGAGCGCAGTAGAAAATTGGTGAGATCGAGGCCACCCCTATACCACCACAGCCATCCACCACAGCCATTCATACGTCGATCGCGTTGTCGCAGGGAGGTTGCAATATGCATAGCCACGCGCACATGCGACATCAATGTGCAACGCTATCAAAGCCGTCAACTCCCCTTGGGTAAGACGAGAGTGTGTGTCTGATATGATTCGAAAGAAGATCAGTGCTTCAAGATGATGGGTGTTGGATTGGGGCGGAATGCACTATGCTATGTGCCCATTGTAGAACATTTCAGGGAGGCCGCCAACACATCAGCTGTCTGGCGTGTGCTATGGCATAGCAACGTCGTCGTATGGCTCTTGGTTCCGAAGCCACTCCTTCCAGTGATTTGATAACTCCAAAGAACCTCCTGACGAATGTGGCAACGTCTAAGTATGGGTCATATCGTATTGCTTACGGTGGCGAGTACGAAGGAGGAGGCTCGAATTCTAGCGAATCCATTCCTACTCCCAAAGGACCCCGTGTTCTCGGAAGCACCGAATCCGTCGCCTGACTATCCCTGATGAGCGTGCCTCTGTGGAATCGGAAGCATTCCAACGTTACTTGGCTGATTCAGCAAGACGGTCATCCGGGAGTTATGCCTAGGAAACTAGCCCTCAGGGATGCCTCAGGAGCCGCTTCACACTTCGCCGTTCTGTGACGGGTTCGTCCTCCATGGTCGACCTGGGGAGGAATAATCTCATCTCGCTGGTCTATCGCGTTCGTTGCGCGGTTTCGCGTTGCTTGCGCTATATTCAGGACAGGGTACCGCCTGAACGGCTTCGAATACCGTAAAGCAAACGCGTTTCGCCGGCACACCACCAACACTCCCGTCAAACATTTGGCAAATGGCACCTACCTGACGTCGAGCACAAGAGCGCAACTGGCGATACGCAGAGCGATCTGCAAAGAAAGCACGACGGTAAATATGACGACCATGACGGCGTAAGTGACCAGCTCCCTTCGCTGGCGTGATTCAAGACCAACACATCCTGATGGTATAGATCTTCGGCGCTGCAAAGCCCCAACAGCAGCAGATGGGACTTGGCCTAAGTTGGGAGTCCTGTTGACGTGGAAGAGAATAGTCGACTAGGGGAGTTCTCCATTCTGACATCTCGAGATAGGTTGCGAGCCGTATGCACTGGTTCATTCGCGACATCTCCCGCCCAATACGACTATTCACTATCAGCACGCTGCCGGACACCGTCCCGACGACGACCGCATTTCAGCATATCGGAAAAGTTCGAACGCTGTCCTATCCACAAAAAGCACTGATGTGTCGAGGGAAATTGATGGTCCGACTTTGCTGGGATTGCTCTGTCATCACCAAGAAGTACCTCACAAGACGTACGGTCAATACTTTGAACGTCTTGACCGCATTCTGGCGTTCTTCTCCACGAGGTCGAACCATTGCGCGACATATACACCTAGTAACATTGAATGCTTGGTCACACAACCGACTGGTATTCATGCGGAGGCATCATCGTGTACTCGACCTCTGCTGTGGATGCTCGAAGTAGATCAGTAGAAGGGCATCGCGCGGTAAAATGGAATGACTGCTACGTTGGGTTTCCCTTGTAGTGTTGTCAAGCTCGACTGGGATTCCAAATCTCCATCAACGGCTTGTCAGCACCCCATGACTGAGATTGCAAATCTCCATTGACGGCTTGTCAGCAGCTTCGTGAATGCCATGCGTCGGGTTGCTCCTGCTCTCCCTTTAGGAAGTAGCGTTGTGATGCGTGTTGTGATGCGTGTTGTGATGCGTGTTGTTATGCCGACTACACAACGAAGTCATGCAGTCGAGCCATGATGTAGGCATATTTGTAGTAGAACCCCCAGGAGCTCCTCGAGGCGCGGGAAGAATGAATACGAGCCAACTTTTCATACTCCTCGACCCCGATGTGGATTGGCCAAGTCTTGAAGGCACCCAATATATCCAGCAGCCGAATAACAGTCAAGTTGAGGTTGCCAGTCGGAGGCTTTGTATCTGACACTGCATTTTGGAATCCTTCTTGAGTGATTTCCCAAGTCTGCTCAGGTGATAACCGAGCTCCAGCGCGAACGAGCCAGAATAGTTTTTGAAGTGCTTCGTCGTTCCAAGGGCCTGTCAATAGATCGTCCGGTATTCGAGTATCTCTGTGGACTTCAATCCAACTCGCCGGGGCCAGCTCTTGGAGATAAGCGGCGGCGGTTGCCGATGTCTCATGTTCCTCCACCTGGCGAAAGGCATGGTAGTCGTGCAAGAAATAGTACTTGGCCTCTCTGACCTTGCTTGTTCCGTCGGAACTCTCTGCCGTAGCACCATCGTCGGCTGATTCGGAATTGCCCCAGATCTTGATGTGCTCAAATGGCCTGTCTCTAGCATGCCGTCGAACCCAAAGATCGAAGCAATCGAGTATGAAGGAAATGTTGGCCCATGGGTATTCCAAGAGTGCAGACTAGGGACAGTTAGTAGCTGTTGAATAGAGGCTTCTTCATAGAACAAACCTGGAATACTGGGTTGCCGCCAAATCGATCAGAATCGTGATCCCAGCCAGTGTAGCTATGGACAGTGCGAGCATTCCGTTTGGTGTCTTGAACACACCCGTACCAAACGTCCCATGTTGGGCCAAAGGCAGCGATGAAGGTCTCGCGTAGAGTAGACGGCCCTGAAAGTAGCCGTCCGAACCGAGGGCTACATCGCGGGAGGTTGACATTTTCGCTAAACCAGAAGATGCGCTCGAGAACCTCAAGCGGGACCTCCCTTTCGAAATATGAGGCTCTCATGGCGCGGGGCTTTCTGTGTTTCTTTTGGGTCTTTGTCTTGGGACGCTTAGGCAGATGAATGGCAGAGGGCTCTCCCGGGCGGCGCCGCTTGCCGCGGACTCTGATGGGTGTCAAGTACATTGCGATGTTGTGATGAAGTATGAAATCTGTTGGTCAGCCACCTCGATCAGAGAAGCCAGATTTTATGTCGTGCTGTGAGCCAGGCATGGTCAATAGCGACAGTCCGCTAAAGCTGATTTCCAGGAAGGCAACCGGGCATCATAACAGGAGAGCGTTCAGCATGGGTTTGTGGGATATCCAGAGGACCGTCAGGTCATGTCGCCCGCCATGTGACAGGAATGGACAATGCACAGTGAATGAATTATATCTCATCAGCCACATGCAGTTGTGGCGGGTGCCTCAGAGTCCCCACGTGGGTGATCCCATTGGCTTGGCAATGTGCCACTGGCAGTGGAGCTGGCCATCGCCCAGCTGCCAGGGCCGCCAGTCTTATCGATTCCAACTTTCTTCTCGCGCTGCGTTGCAAAGCTGTGCACCGACAGAGAGGCACGATGGAAGCGACAATTGTGAGCCAGCGACATCGATAACCCGCTGCGCTCGTGTCTATGTCTTCTCCGATGGCTTCGCTGCGCCTACCAGTGCCCTCGACCAGGCTGCTCCGGTTCTTGCGACGTCAGTCCGAAAGCTTGAGTTTCTTCAGCCCAAGCCACGATGCTGCCGCAGGTCTAGCACAGTCTACGCGTAGAGCTCTCTGCGCAGCCAAGAGACAGACGCGACAGTCGTCGCAGCACGAAGACACGTCGTTGCAAGCGGGAATTCTGGACCCAAGTTCCCTCCTGCGAACACGGTGCCCGCGAGACCTCCGCCCGGCCGCTTTACCATACTCGACAGCAAGGCTTGGGATTCGGTTCAACTCTTCGAACAGGCCGCAGGCACCATGTAAACCAACATGGATGGAAAGGCTTGCAGGAATTGGAACAAGGAAAGGCGCGAAACCCCTTGAACCGGACGATCTCCCGGAAGACGACGGGGAGGGCGAGAACAACTCCATGTTCAGCACCCGGCGCCAGCTCAGTCAAAAGGCTGCGCTAGAGCCAAGGCTTCGGTGTACTGAAGTTGACGAGAGTGGTAATGCCATATTGGTCGATGGCGAGTTCAAGAAGAGCGAGCTAATCGCGAGGGTTCGTGAACTTGAATAGGATACCCAGGCTCGACACGATAGCTAACATTGAACAGTTTGGTCTGTTGCCTCGCGATCTGCGCAAAATCGACTCTTCGAATCTGCCACATATTCTCGTCCGACCGACCGCGATCTTGCTCAACCTCCTGCATCTGAAGGTTCTGATAAAGCACAACCGAGTGCTGCTATTTGATATCTATGGCACGAAAGCGTCCTACCCCCAGTCTGCGTTCATGTACGACCTACAGGGAAAGCTACAACAGAAGACGGCGCCAAGCAACGGGGGCTTGCCATACGAGTTCCGCGCCATCGAAGCCGTGCTTCAGTCCGTGACCCAGGAGCTAGAAGCAGACTTCGAAGCCGTCCGCGACCCCGTGATTCGTATTCTGAGCGAGCTTGAAGACGACGTCGACCGACACAAACTGCGCATCCTCCTCATCCTTTCCAAGCGAGTCAGCACCTTCGAGCAGAAGGCAAAACTCGTACGCGATGCCATTGAGGAGCTTCTTGAGGCTGACGATGATCTGGCGTCCATGTACCTGACCGAGAAGACGCACGACATCCACCGCCAACTGGACGATCACACTGAAGTCGAGATGTTGTTGGAGTCGTACCATAAGCTTTGCGACGAAATCGTCCAGGAAGCACAGAACTTGGTGTCATCCATCAGGAACACCGAGGAAATGTAAGCTATGGGTTCTGTTTCTATGGTAAATTGGCATATCAGCTAACATGGCGCAGTATCCGGGCGATTCTAGATGCCAACCGTAACTCTCTCATGTTACTGGAACTCAAATTCAGCGTGGGCACTTTAGGCCTGGCCATGGGTACTTTCATTGCTGGTCTCTATGGAATGAATCTGGAGAACTTCATCGAGGACACCAACTGGGGTTTTGGTACCGTCACCGCTCTGTCGATTTTATTCTCGCTCGTCGTTTGCAGATACGGCATGCTGAGGCTCCGGAAGGTACAGCGCGTCAAGATGCAAGGCGATGAGCGCAGAGGTGTGGAGAGGGACTACCATTGGTTCCATGACGATGGTCATGCGGGACTTTTGGATCCCCGGAACCGCGAGAAGCTGAGACGTCTGAATATGAAGAAGGCAGACAACCTCAAGAACAAGAAGAAGTGGTGGTGAGCAGGCAGAACCGGTGCGCACAGGTTCTGCGACGGCTTTTTAAGTAATAGTTGCAGGAGGGAGACCGGCGCTCGAACGGCATAGCATAGATGTGGCGTTAGGGGTTTGCGTAAGGCCTCCAAGGCACACAGGCCAGGGATTGTACTCATAGTCATGTATCATGTCCCTCAGGGTATTCTCATCTCAACACGTCTAGGACTCGCATCTATATACCCGTTATGGACTCGGCGATCTATTGCCTCGATGTCGCCCTCAAATCAAAATAACAATCCCGGTCAATCTCTTCAGCTAACTATTGTGATTCGATATAAAGCACCGCACGAATTGGGAACCATCCTGTATTTCCTTCCATAGAAAGTTGGTGTGACAGCACGGTTTTGGTTGGAGCAGCAAGAAGGGAGGCAAGTATCATATCTCGCTCTAGATCTATCTCTTCAATCCCGCCCCAACTCTGCCCCTTTACACCCCTATCACTCCATAGCTCTCCCCTTGCGTCCTCCCTTTCCTTCCCACCCTGAACCCGCTCTCTTCACTGGGTTCCCTGCTTCCACAAGCTCCCAGGTTATTATAACGTGTCACTTATCAAGATCCGCGGACTTTTCGAAGACAGCGGGTAACATGCCTATGAAGCCGTTGGCGCAGCGAGAAGGGACTTATCGGAGACCACAGTCCCGGCTATGTTGCCGTCGTATTGGACAGCTTCACGACACATATACCTCGCCATAATCCACGCCCTGCTTCCTGGTCGATTGAGGCGTATCTGCCCCAACGCAGCATCTATGCCATGCAGTAACCAAACCTTATGATCGTTCATGTCCACTAATCTATCCACCCGGTGAGAATGTTTGGCAAGGGGAAGGGCCAGAGGATAGATGGGGTAAGTTATTGCATGGACACTGGATGGGACATGATAAATGGATACATACTGGCTGCCAGCTACTACTTCACCCTCGATCTTCTTCCATTTTGCATGACATACCCCGAGCTTTGCTATGTGGTATTCAGCAGATACGCAAGCAATAGATGATAACGCGGTCCCTAGACCAGTCCCTTCTGTGTACCAGCCCCCAATCCAGCGTCTAAATACCTAACCAAGTAGCAGAGACATACACAACGGCGGCGATGCCGTCCTACTGGCCACATACATCACCGCGAGTTACTCACTCGCACCTCACTTCCAACTTCCCAGAACAGAAAACCAAACCATCGCATCCGGAACCAGGGACCATCCAAGTCAGGAAGCACGACAAGAAGAACCCTCACGTTGGCCAGAAACCGAGTGAACTCCGCCCGCTACTGTCACAGCTTGGAGTAGAGTCAACTTGCACGCTGCGTTGGCGGACTGTCGCTGAATCTTCCTCACTTTACCTACCTAGGTACTCGAAGGTTCCCGTGCGCGTGGATGCTGCCATCGTATGTCTACCGGTATGCATACCTAGGTAGGTACATAAGGTATGCAGAGACCAGCACATAGCTCTGACAAGCGGCATATCGACAAGTCGTCTGCTGCGACCTAGAAGAGCACAGTAACTAGGGCGGAAAGGCACATGAAGCCGAGACCAAGCCGAGTAATTACAAGCCAATAGGAGAAAAGAGGAAACGAGAGGAGACAGGCGAGACCGGACACCCGGTGCAAGGTCAAAATTGAGGGAGGGAGCGCGTCGCAAGAATCAGCTGCAGAACCCCAAACGAGGACGCTGAATTGACAGACCCAAGATTCCACCCACGAAACAAACCAGGCGAGAGGTTCACAACCACTGGAGCCAGATAGCCTAAACCAACTTATAGAGCTGCGAGCTGCTTTCTATACCACGCAACAAACTGCGTATATATACCAAACTCGGGCTTCTTCCTGTGAAGTACCTTGTCGGGAAACGATAGAAATAGGACGGTGAAATCGTGAAGGTTATTCACTATCTATCACCGTAAAGGAACGGGGATACATATTAACTAAATCAGGAGAACATATACTCTTGACTTCAAACTGACTGACTGACTACGTTTCCAGCTCAGAAACTCCCAACGACCCATATAAGAGCCAGCAATACACATTCACCAAACCCCAAAAGTCTCCATACGCCCCTAGCCAATCAAGGTCCAGAATATTCAAAGGTGCCTGGCACCCAGTCTATCCCGGCCACGGAGTCTGGCCGGGATAAGACATTCGAGCAAACGTATGCGGAACAAACGCGCCAGAAGAAGCATCGAATATACCTAGCTTATGGATGAGCAACTGCTTATTCCAAGGTGATGATTGCGCAGAAACCTTACCCAGTACCTCTTGATATTCAGGACGTTAGTAGATAAGGTAAGGGGTGTTCAGGGCCTTGCCTTAGGACGTGTGAACGGAAGCACCAGACGGAAGCAGAAACTGAACTTGGAAACAGCTCGTCTTTCTTCACCGAAAGATTCCCATGATCGGATGAAGTTTCACTACCTAGGCTCATATCATTACCGTGGTTTAGTAGCCACCCCGTACACAAGCTGTGAACGCGTTCGTTTGTCACTTCCACGAATACCCTCTGCAAGGAATTGGGTGGGGAAAGGGATGATAGTATCATTGTTCCATACGAGGCTATCCAGCCCACGTGTGTGTGTATCTTAAGTTCACGGATCCTATATCTCCATTCGCCGAGCTGGGAAAAATGATATCAATCAGACAGCATCGTCTCCTCGCGGGCTATCAGGTGCTGATGATGGTGGCGCCGGACTACCCTGGCCTCGAGGACTTGGACCGGTCTCCAGAGCGTCTCGGTACCTACACGAGGCACCGCCAACCCAAGATTGTCCTGCACTACCAGGTGGACTCGCGACCGCTACGTCCGAGTTGTTGCCGCCCCTATTACGCCACCATTTTAGCTTCCATATTCCGCCAAGGGCGTCCTTAGCACCACCAGTCGAGCTCTTCCGTCGCGATGGCTTCCTAGCAGTAAATCCGGGGAACCCAGTGGATTTTCTCCTTCGCCGGAATATCCTCCTCGGATTGTCTCCACTAGGTCCGGCGCCAGTGAGAGAGGTCGTCGACTCCCCTGATATATATCTCCTCCCACCCAATAGTGGTGCCACCTCGCTGAGCGTACTGCTGGGCAGGGTGCTGGACCTCTGTCTATTAAACGAAGTCCTGGGGGTATCCTGGTCTTCCAACTCGTCCCATATTGCCGCGCGCTCATGCCAGCGACTGCTGGGCTTATGGCTCGGTGTGATAGGTGTCATGTCGCCATTTGGACCAAATGTGTTGTATGTGGTCGGCACTTCTTCACCATCTTCACTAGGGGAGTCGGAATCAACAGTCGAATCGTCGTCACCTTCCGTGTCCTCCACGAACCCTAGCCCCGGTGTCAAGGTCGACTGCCCGACGGCCGGTGGATATTGTTCGTCGCTGAGGCGCCATGACAACGCCAGCACGCCAGAGAGCAAGATAACGGTGCCCAGAGCTATGAGCCCGCCATGCAATGGCGATATGAGATTCGTCTGATCAAAGTATATCAAGCCATCCAAGATAGCGATGATGTTGTAAATGCAAAACACTAGGGGGTATAAGACCGAGGTTGATACCAGCTTCAAACCACGGTGTAGATAGTATAGCTGACTCAATGCCAGGGCGACCAGGCCAAGCACAAGCATCCAAGACTGCCAATGCACGAACTGGTTATCGCCGTCGGCGATGGTCCTAAGAATTAATTCGACGGCCGACTTGGCGAACAGCAGTGAGTGCGCAGAGAGGATACCGCTGACGCACCCATATGCCAGTCCTCGGGCCAGGCGAAACTTGGGATTCTGCGAGATGGCGTGGAACCGATTGACCAGGTCAACGGCTAATGCAATACTGATAACGAGCACAGCTTGCAGGGACATCCAAACGATAAACTGCCACCTGCCAAGCAGAGCCAGCAGCTCCCGCAGACTGTGGGCGGGCGATGGGATGGCGCCGAAGATGGCAATCATGGCGGCGCCGGCTGTGACGAGTGCTGTTCCCCAGAAGGACCACTTCGTAAAGGGCTCGCCCAAGATCAAGGTTGCGCATATCGAGTTGAAGACGAGGCCGGCGGCTTGTAAGGTCGATAGTACCGGCAATGGTAAGGTAGAGATCTGGATGCTGCTTCCTAGTACGTTGGATACGACGAACATTCCCATGCCCAGTTGCCACCTGCGCCTCCGATAGGGGGGTCTCTGCGTCTCTTGTGGACCCTTTTCGTCTTCGAGCAGATGCGACTTCCGTTGGAGGGTGAGGCCGAGTGACTGGACGCTTGTGGATATCAAGCCGACTATGACACCGATCTATCGAGGCAGCGAGAGTCAGAGACATGGAACAGAATAGTGGAAGGCTCGGGAGTACCAGGACTGACCGCAAGAGTTCCCGCAGGGGAGACATGGCTGAAAAGCCCCATTGCGACAAACTCGGACCAGGCTTCATCTGGCGAGGGTCGCAGATGAGACAAGGCCTCGGCAGCGCATGGAGCTGCTTTTGCCGGATATACTGATTCCAACACGACCAGCTATTCGGGGTTCGAGAGTTCGAGGTTTCGCTGGTGGATCGAGGATCGAGAGTCGTACCAAGACAGAACAGGGCTGACAGGACAGCGGACAAGATTGAAAGAGGGATAAAAAACGGCGCACGCAAAAGCGAGTTACCGTACAAATAGAGTTCGGCGGACTTCAGTAGTAGATCTGAGGTTTGCGCAGGTACGCCGGTACGGAGGCAGCGGTGGCGGCCAGAGTCGTGGTGGGTGTGTAGTGTATTCGGTGCGGTGTGTGGTGTGAATAAAGGGAGCTTGCAATGACGCCGTCCAGGACCGGGGTGTTGATCAATGTGTCGTGGTCGCCGGACGGGAGTCTCCGTGTGGGACTGCAGATCGTAACGTACCTAACCTTACAAAGAGCACAACTCAGTTGCGATGCTATTGGATTTGATAGCCTTGTTGGTTTCAGGCTTTCGGTCTTCAAGATTCTAATATCGGTGACGATGATGCAAAGCCAGACGATATATCTGTACCATACCTTACATTTACGAGAAGAACAGGTCGTGATTGTCGTACCTTATTATCTGGATCAAGTGCTTCTGCCCCCTGACCACAGCAGTCACTCACTCCCTAACATGTGGCCGAGACAGTGGTGCAGCAGCAGCCATTGGCCAACACATCAAGTTGGAGGACGAGAGTCAGCTGTGGCTGTGCCGCGTACCAAATCCATTCTCAAGCCACACGGTCGACTTCGATGCGGCGAGGGGAGCGATGAGCTGTGGCTTGCGCAGCTTCGTCACCTGTCAGCCGACACCATCGGAATCCTGCTATTGACACCCGACTGGAGAGACGGCATACAGCTAACCTTGGCAGCTAACCACCACAAGACCCACCATCCACGAACCTCCTACGACATCCCTCAACCTCCAGCTGCCCTTGAAGAGCTGCCCTATACCGATCACCAGCTGTACGAGCTGTTTGGACATCCAGCTCAAGGCAACTTCGTCCCTCAGTCCCGCCGAACGACCTCTTCCCCCGAGCAGACCTCCCCCAACCCGCCAACATGTCACAAGTCCACGCCTTGTCCGACGACCAGGTAAGTAGTAGCAGCAGCTCGCTCCCGTAGTAACAGCCCAGCACCGCCCGGGACTACAGACACACACACATACACGCACACCATATACCACGGCAGAAAGCAAGCAAGCAATGCACTGACAAGATGCCCCCCCTCAACCACAGGTCGGGCAGGAGCTGCGCAAGATGACAGCCTTCATCAAGCAAGAGGCGTACGAGAAGGCGCGCGAGATCGAGATCAAAGCGAACGAGGAGTTCAGCATCGAGAAGTCAAAGCTAGTACGACAAGAAACGGACGCCATCGACGCCGCGTACGCCAAGAAGTTCAAGCAGGCCACCATGTCGCAGCAGATCACGCGGTCGACCGTCGCCAACAAGTCGCGGCTGAAGGTCCTGGGCGCGCGCCAGGCCCTGTTGGACGACATCTTCGAGGCTGCCGCCAAGCGTTTGGGAGATGGCGCCAAGGACAAGAAGAAGTACAAGGCCGTGCTTAAGAATCTGGTGCTCGAGGGCATGTACGCACTCAGCGAGAAAGAGGTCGCCGTCCGTGCCCAAAAGGCCGATTATGATGTTCTCAAGGACGCCATCTCCGACGCTGAGGCCGAGTATAAGAAGGAGGTCGGCAAGGAGTCCAAGGCCAAGATTGACGAGGAGAACCCGTTGCCCGAGGGAAGGTAAGAGTTCTTCTGCCATGCTTCGATCTAGAACAGACCGCTTTGATATGCCCCAGGTGTAGTAGCCACTGCGCTGGACTGGACTGCTCACTAGATGTCTCTTTGCTAACGATTACTCCGTGTACAGCGCGGGAGGAGTCATGATCCTGGGCTTCAACGGCAAGATCGAAATCAACAACACCTTTGAACAGAGACTGGAGCTCCTGCAGACCAGCGCCCTGCCCGCCATGCGCAAGACCCTGTTTGGAGCGAATCCCAACCGCAAGTTCTTCGACTGAGAGTTCGGTAATCCACCAAAGGAAGTACCATGGTTCTGTTATCAGCGACCCGGCAATGGTCATTACACCCGTCAAGAACTGCCGCTGTCAGGAAAGGAGGAAGGAAGCATGGGCACGGGCGATACAAGTTGAGACTCACATTACGCATCATGCCGCATCGCTGTCTGTTCGGGAGGTCTTGGTCATTGCATGAAGTTTGTCGGTCTAGCATCGTGGCAATGAGTTTGTGGTTCGTGCTACTCGTATTCACAAGACGGTTGTATTATAAGGGGTTTATTCAATGCGAAGTGACATTAATCAACCAATCCATCATGCGCCATGCTTCTTCTCCTTGCCAGGCTTCTGGTGACAGCAACCTTTCCCGGTCGTCGTATCAGTCCAGGGTATGTGACATGGTCCAACAACAAACAATGCGTATACCGTGCTTTCTGCGGCTGATATCTCATCATGAGTCGCTCATCACGTCCGCAGAATCAGCACCATCCTCCCCGTTCCCGTCCTCATTCGCACCCTCACCTGCCTCCCCCTTCGCATCTACCCCCCCCACCATCCTCCCCACCCCCAACCACAATCCCCTCTTTGTCCAACTCTTCATAAACGCCCGCTGCCGCGGCTTATCCTCCTCCGCCTCCTCCTCCTCACGCCTCTTTTTCTCATCATACATATCAAAGATGTCCGTCTTGGGCGGCGGCCGCGTGCGCACCGAGTACGTGAGCCGCTTCGACAGGGCGTCGATGTCGGCCTTGGCCTCTTTCCGGGACACCAGGTTGCTGTCGAGGATCGCGTCGTGCACTGCTTTCAGGCGGAAGGTCAGGGCGTCCATCTCGGTGTCGAAGGCGCGGTCGGTGGGGTGGTAGGGTTTCTTGTTGGAGGAGTAGGGTTCTTTGTTGGAGCGGGGTTTGGTGGTTGTGCTCTTCGTGTGATTGTTGTTGTTTTGATTCTCGTCGGTTTTATTATTATGGTTAGTATTATTGTTCCTGCTGCCGCTGGGAGTGGTAGTGGCAGTGGACGTAGATGTGGCGGTGGTGTCAGAAGAAGGAACAGGCGACGAGCGCATGAACTGCGCGTCCCCGATCACGATGTCGAGCAGCGCGATGAGCGCCCGCAGCGCCTCGAAGTTGGTCGAGTGCCGGATCTTGAAATCGGGCTCGTCCAGCCGGTCGCGGATGTGCTCGGTCGTCAGGACGCCCTCGAGCGGCCGGCTGCCCATTCCCGGGCTGTGGAAGAGGGATTCGGCCGCCAGGCGGCGCCGCAGGTCGAGCTGCTGCGCGGTGGCCTTGGGGAGCAGCGTGATGGGCAGCGCGCGTAGCACGATGTCGTCGATGTTCTCGTAGAGGTAGGAACATATGGCTTCGCACTGTTTGTTGCGTCAGCACTGGTGACGACTTGGAGGAATCAAATAGATAAGGGGTACATAAAACTTACGGCTGTATCCCATTGAGACCCGGACCTGGGCAGGGCTGAGACCAGAGCGTCCATCGCGGCCAGGTGCCTTTCAGCTACAGTGTTTATCGTCGACACGATGGGATCGAGACTCATCCGTAGCAGGAGCTGGATAGCGCTGATGACATTGGCTTTCTGCAAGTCCGGCGCAATGCGTTCCAGTAGTTGTAGAAACGTCTCCAGCCCCGTCCAGTCTCGCCCACGGTACGGCTCCTCGACTTCGGATGAGCTCTCGAATTTGCTGTGCTCCCGGGCGTACCTCGGTCCCCCAAGCCTCTCAAGCATGGCGTACATCTGCATATCGTTAATGAGGCGGGATGTGGTGTCCTTGCTCATGCTGATCACGTTGGTATACTGCATGCGCAATTGTGCGTTCTTCTCGACACACATCTCGTCTAATATCCACTGGTACAACTCATCGGGAAGAGCCTTCCCCTTGGAGACGAGCACACACGGCAGGCCATGGATGAAAGCTTGATCCCGTGTGACAGATTCAACCAGACACTGCCAACAGCCCTTTGCCTTCTTTTCGGGAAAAGGGCTCCGGGGAGGCTTGAATAGGGGCTGGTCCAGTTCGAAGAAGTAGCACCGCTTGCGAGTCCCGGCGACCTTAGTGCGCTTCATGGCCCTAGCGATTTTGTCGCCTTTGGCCTCCTCTTCGTCGCCAATGAGCAGCTCCTTGGCCGCCTCCTGGAACTGCTTAGGGTCACCCTCGAGGTCTGAGGCATCTGCCACATCATCATCGTCATCTCCTTCGTTGATGAGGTCCTCGGCTCTCTTGGCGCTCTCGTCTATCCGTTCCTCCAGCCGGGTGTGGTTGATCAGGGCCTTGAGATCAAACTTGTGCTTCTTGGGCTGGAGCGTCAGCGGGGACCGATGGACGCCGGATGCTATCCGTTTGGCCTGCGGGGTGGAGAAGGTGCTGGGCTCCCGGCGGTGCGCGGCAGGTCCCGACCTCTGTCCGATGAAGGCGGAGATGGACTCGAGCGAATCGTCCGAGTCACCCTCGTCGTCATCGGACCCCTTGATCTCGTCGGTGCGGCTGAGCACCCTCGGCGCTGGTTTCGGCGGGGTTCGGGGCGATGAGGGCAGGTCTAATGATGGCTGTGATGAGGGTGTCCGATCCTGAGACAGAGGCTTGGCGGGGCCGGGCCTGAAGAAACCTCTAATATCTCCGTTCCGCGACATGATGCCCTCCTCTACCGTTTGCCCGGTGGATACACTCACTTTCAGACTGCAATACCACATGCGTGTGAAAGGCAGCAGCCCCTCGCGGATATTAAGTGTTGAGTGTCTTATGACTCAGGCGACAGAGAGTACCGCGATGAGTAGGTGGATGAGATGAGATGAGATGAAATGGAATGACAATGGCAAGATTGTGCGCCGTAGAATTAGGCTTTCGTGAAGCTCGTGCTTGCCTGCGGTAACGATTGCGGGCTATCTAGGCGAGAGTCCTGTGAGACTGCTTGGCATCGTGCTCACTGTTCAAGCCGAAAAAGGCCGGCAGACGGTCCGCCGGTGATGGGAAGCGCGTTCTAGCCGAGTACTAGTGCGGTTATGGGGTAGGAAGACGCGTCGTTCTTAACCTGAACTTCCAGAGGACGAGGTTGTCGCGTGACTCGCGTCTGAAAATCGATGGACGAGGCCCACATGCAAGAGCATGGCATTGTCAATTGATAGCATTGATAGCCCTGTGGCGCGGCTGGGGCCATTCCCAGCGCCACCTTTCAAGCAGAGCTCCTCGAGGTCACTCCTATTCTCAGTTCTGCTGGATTTCTCTAGCGATTACATGGGCATTGCCCACGGCTTCACTCAGTCCTACTGTAGGTATTCATAGTCAACCCCTGCTGGGTGCTTAAGAGTAGTGAAGGGCCTCTTTTCTTGGGCGTGCCTAGGGTTTGATCATTTGGAACATCGCTCTGACTTGAGAATATCCAGGGGCTGCGCACACGCGTCTTCAAATTGAAAGAATGCAATGTTCCGCCATAGCAGAGGATTGGTAGGGCAGTCTTCTACAATCTGGCTCCTTTGGGTTTGCAGGTTGTTAGTGCCTTCTTGGAAAGGGTCCAGACTCTTCAGCGGTCCATTATCATTGCAACCTAGGAGTCGAGCCAGGAACCGTGAACGCGAATGTAATAAATCATATGCATATCTAATGAAACTGTGCTGTGTAGCAAAAGAGAGAATTGCCTAGCTTTACCCCCTTCCTGCTCTCTTATTGGTGGATATTCCGTCGTCACTCTAGAACACGGAAAGCGAGTAGAATCATACCAGGCTGACAGATCAAAAATAGCCACTTATGTATGGATGGCGGTCTTCCACTCCTCCCTTTGTGCAGTTCTCAACCAGCGCAAGCAGTGATCGTTTGAGTGTTCGAGGTGTACATATAGCTGTACTGCCTTACACAAAAGCAAGGTCTTCTCTCGGCGGTTGTGGCGGTTGGTGGTACACCGGACCCTCATAAGTTGCCGTACTCCGCCCATCCAGCAAAACAACGGTATTCATCAAATCGGAATAAACATGATGGAATAAACATTACAAGTGGCGTATTGACCCAGAGCTGCTTTTCCCTGTATGGTTATTCCAGTTTTTCTAGATTTCTACGTGTGAGCTGGAATCTTACCACCATGCGCGTACGGAGACTTGAGAGGGCTGAGTGTACCTAGGAGCCGGACCCTTCTTTTCTGATGACTCCAACCAAAGGGCGACAGTCCAAGGTGAAGCAATTCAGGAGCACTCTAGGCGTCGCGTTGCTGAAGGGGGATCTCATTTAAGTATTTAGATTCAGCTCAGTCCCGTCTACACAAAGAAGGTATGACATTGTGACACGGGATTTCTTCATCAATCGCCTCACAGCTGAGAACGTGGTGAGCCGCCAACAATCCAATGAACTGCGTGTCTCATGGAACGCAAAAGGGGTGGCTCGCCTCGCAAAGTACCTACGGTCCACACACTCGGCGGTCGGCTTTCACACAACTACTATGATCTCGGTGCCCCATAGCACCGAGTAGAATCTCCAAACCCCCAATGCATGGTCCTGCATGGGAGTGGAGTTGGCATGATTAAAGCCGCTCCCGTCGCCTCTCTCGGGTTTAAATAGGACCCCGAGACTTTTTGAGCGACCCTGAGACGGGACGCAGCCTGCAGGTATGATCGGCGGGAAGTCATAAAGTGCACTGACACCTTGGCCTGACTCTCTTGTTGGATGATTGACATGTCTCACGCAATAGCTGGCCGTCGACCCGATGGACAGTCTGTCATTATGGTCACAGCAAATCGAGTTGTGTTGTTGGTTCAGGCTGAGTCTGGAGGATTGTTCCGCAACCTGGTCTGACATCACTCCCGCTGACCTCTCGTGAGAGGGGGCGAGATGTTGTTGGCTGTAGGCTGACACGCGCAGTACTGCAGCCGCTATTTGTCAGTCCTCAAACTGTGGCGGCGGGCGTCCAATCCGGATCTCAAATTCAGTACGCCGTACTCGTCGTCCGTACACCGTGCTGACTGACACCCTCCTCGGAGTGGCTGAGAGCTGTCCTGGTTACTGGACATCATGTGCATCTTGCCTCTCCTCCCAAAAAAGGATGCCATTATTGATTATCCGTGGCGGCGTTATCCGAGGATATGTACCGGTAGGCTGCGGTAGGTTGCAAGCTTGTGAAGTTGTGAGCGAACCCCCACATGATCCTTGTTTGGACTTTGGACTGCCTATTTCAGTCTTCCCGTAAAAGCCTCGAGACTATCGGCGCTTCGTCAAGGGGAAGGGTCAACTTTGACCGTCCGATCGATGCCTATGCGGTGTAGGTATCTCAGCATTTGTCCAGTAAATGAGGGAATTGGCTGTGCTGCCGTGCCAAATCTCCTATAAATCAAATGATGTCGCACCAAAGAGGCAGGCAACTACGCCTCCATATATAAATGCATGTTTCTGAATGTGGTAGCACCAGCATACTGCGACTCCGTGCCTCCAGTCGCTAAGGTACGATGGGATGCAACCTCGAGCTCTGCATGCCCATTTGTAAGCTGGCTTGCCTGATCAAGCATGATAGGCGATTGACTCCGAGGTGAGAGGGGGAGATGGAATCCGGGGTTACGCCTAAAAGACTTCAAATAGACCTTGATTGTCTCGGTTGAATTCTCCAGGTGAAAGCCATCATGATACCATTGAGGTTCAAAGGGCTGATGGTCCAGTATGCCTTGGTATTTGTTTGGGCTTGATCGAAATCTTGTTGGTCCCTGGGATTCGATCGAGAACGGTCCGAAGGATTGTGCAATACATAATTTCACGACACAGGTGACAGGAAGATCATCTCAGCCGACAGATGGGATAGGAGGTGAGGTTGCAACAAGCTGACCAATGCATGGGCTGCGTGGGCTATGGGCAGGCACAGTGTACAGTGTGCAGTCCGGTCTTCAGTGTCATGTCCAAGACGAGAGCAGAGATGAATGAAGAGGCTCAAGAGTCAAGAGACCCTGTCCTGCTTACCAATAACGGCAATTCAACCCAATAACCTGGCCAACCTGCCTACTGTGCACTAGATAGTAGACAGCTAGTCAATCCGTGGCAGCGGAATACGAATCAAGCGTGCTCAAGACTTGGTGGTGCCGCGATGAGCCTCGCTGGACTTGCCGTTGCGTTTGAGATATTGACCATCCGGCTAGCGTGTTGCCGTTGTCGGACAGTGTGACAACTCCGACTCTGAGCGGTGGGTTAACCCCTGATGAAGTGCCTCAGCTGCTACGAAGCATCGCACCTGCACCTGCACCTGCACCTGCGCACTCAGGCTGTGGTGTGGCACTGGACACAATACACAATGGATGCAGTTCTTGACTGCGGTGCAGGTGGTTGTGCTCACGCTGTCGTGCCGTACTGTGCTCTGTGCATGCAGGTACCTAAATACACAGGCTGCATTATAGCGGCCCCCTTCCCACTTACAGCGAGGTGTGCGCTACCTCAACGGCTTCAGTTACCGCCTGTACTCGGGCCTGTGCTTATTCCCAGCGTCTCCACTGCACCAGATACAACTCCGTACACAGTGGGTCGTGGGCTCTAAACCCCGGTCTATCCGAAGCCGACAGTCAGATTACCTTAGCCCAGCGCCCTTGGTCAACCAAAACTTTCCGTTGTTCCCTTTCCAGTCTGCACCGGCACTGGAAGTCTGTCCTTATCGTCATCACAACACAACACAACACCATCCGCCCGACCCGACCGCTTCGAACCCGCCATTCGCGACGCAATTGATTTGTGCCCGTGAGACTGTTTATGCTTGCTTTGTGTTTGTCATCGCGACACCCGACGCTCTGCATGGTTGTAGCGGATTGAGCCTGCCTTATACATCGCTTGGATTGAGAGGAGGAAGCACCGCTAGGGAAGCCCAGTCTGGCGGACAGAGTCGGGTTCAACGGGCGCTGCCCGCACTCCGTTCAAGATGGCGAAAGACGATAATGGAAATGATCACAAGTCCGACAGTGCGACCAAGCGATCGAGATGGGCTACCCGGAAACTCACGGTCAAGAGCAGTAATGTCAAGAGGCTGTCCCTCATAAAAAAGATGCACAAGGGGACTGGGTCGACAGAGAAGAAACGCCAGTCGGGAGGCTCACAACGCTCCACCGGCAGCCGGTCAACTGGGCAAGGAGATCACGATCAGGAAGATGATGCCACTGCAATCGACCAGAACGAACAGACCGACGCGAATAGTACCACATCCGAAGAGGAGGGAGAGGGGAGGACGCTTTTCTTCAATAAACCATTGCCCGATGAGTGGAAAGACGAGGAGGGAAACCCCTCGCGCGTCTATTCGAGGAACAAGATCCGAACTGCCAAGTACACCCCATTGTCCTTCGTGCCGAAGAACCTGTGGTTTCAATTCCACAATATTGCCAACATTTTCTTCCTTTTCATGGTGATTCTGGTGGTAAGTGGTTCAACCGTTGCCTTGCTCGCGGCGGCATGATAACAAAGTGATTCTAGTTTTTCCCCATCTTCGGAGGTACCAATCCTGGGCTCAATGCCGTGCCCCTGATCTTTATCATCGTCGTCACAGCCATCAAGGACGCCATTGAAGACTATCGCCGGACAATTCTCGACAACGAGCTGAACAACGCCCCGGTGCATCGCCTGATTGGGTGGAACAATGTCAATGTCGCCGAGGACAACGTCTCGACTTGGAGGAAAATAAAAAAAGCCACCTCCAAGTATCTGGGTGCCTGGTGGCGTGCGACAACGAGTTTGTGGAAGAAGGATCACAATGGAAAGGGCGCACTGCAGAATTCCTCCGATCCACGGCCCTCGGTGGAGACCAAGGCGACACATGGCGAGTCGATGCTGTCTCCGCGCGGCGATAGGCGGTCTTTTGTGTCGGCATACGAGGACATCCAAATGACACCCGTTGCCTCGCCTCTTCCTCCCACAAAAGAATTGGAGTTGGGGGAGGACACCCCTACTCACGTTCTCGCGAGGGAGAAAGGTGACCTGATTAACCACGAACTCGAATCCAATGGCCAGGCAAGATTCCATAAGGATGCGTGGAAGAACCTCCAGGTTGGCGATTTCGTACGACTGTACAACGATGATGAATTGCCCGCAGATGTTATCGTATTGGCGACATCCGACTCGGACGGGGCCTGTTATGTGGAAACCAAGAATCTGGACGGTGAGACGAATCTGAAGGTCCGTCAAGCTCTTCACTGCGGGCGATCGTTGAAGCATGCGAGGGACTGCGAACGCGCCCAATTCACTATCCAGAGTGAGGCTCCGCAGCCCAACCTCTACAAGTACAACGGCGCCATCGAATGGCAACAGGACTTCCCAGGTATTGGACCGAGAGAAATGTCGGAGCCGATCACTATCGACAATCTGCTGCTCCGTGGGTGCAATATGAGGAATACCGAGTGGGTCTTGGGTGTGGTCATCTTCACGGGTCACGACACCAAGATCATGATGAATGCGGGTGCTACGCCTAGTAAGCGAGCACGCATTGCCAGAGAGCTCAACTTCAACGTCATCTGTAACTTTGGCATCCTCGTCATCATGTGTCTGGTCTCCGGCATTGCCAACGGTGTTGCTTGGTCCAAGAATGATGCTTCGATAGCCTGGTTCGATTACGGCTCGATTGGCAGTACCCCTGGCATGACTGGCTTCATCACTTTCTTTGCTGCCCTGATTGTCTTCCAGAACTTGGTGCCAATTTCGCTGTACATCTCGCTGGAAATCGTCCGCACGCTACAAGCCATCTTCATTTACAGCGACGTGGAAATGTACTACGAACCGATCGACTACCCCTGCGTGCCAAAGTCGTGGAACATCTCAGACGATATTGGCCAAATCGAATACATCTTCTCCGACAAGACGGGTACCCTCACGCAAAACGTCATGGAGTTCAAGAAGGCTACTATTAATGGTCAACCCTATGGCGAGGCCTACACAGAGGCGCAGGCCGGTATGCAAAAGCGCCTGGGCATCGACGTTGTGAAGGAAGGTGCCCGAGCCAGGGAACAGATTGCCGCTGGCAAGGTTCAAGCTCTGGAAAGCCTGAAGAAAATACACGACAACCCGTACTTGCATGCGGACGACATGACATTCATAGCGCCTGACTTTGTCGATGACTTGCGAGGAGAGTCTGGACAGGAGCAGAAAGAGGCCAACGCGCATTTCATGCTGGCTTTAGCCCTCTGCCACACTGTCATCGCCGAGCACGTTCCCGGTGACCCGCCGAGAATCGACTTCAAAGCCCAGTCTCCCGACGAGGCAGCTCTTGTCGCAACGGCGCGTGACATGGGGTTCACTGTACTCGGTCAGACTGGAGATGGCATTAGATTAAACGTCATGGGTGAAGAGATACACTACACTGTTCTCAACACGATCGAGTTCAACTCCAGTCGGAAACGTATGAGTGCAATCGTCAGGATGCCGGATGAACGCATCATCCTGTTTTGCAAGGGCGCTGACAGCATCATCTACTCCCGTCTGAAGCGAGGAGACCAAGCGGAGCTTCGCAAGACTACTGCTGAGCACCTCGAAATGTTTGCCCGAGAAGGTCTACGAACGCTTTGCATAGCGCAGCGCGTTCTGACCGAAGAGGAGTACCTCTCATGGCGAAAGGAACACGACAAGGCCGCCACCGCCCTGTTGGAGAGAGAGGAGAAGTTGGAGGAGGTTGCCGACAAGATAGAGCAGGACCTTACCCTCATCGGCGGGACTGCCATCGAAGACCGACTTCAGGATGGTGTTCCCGACACCATCGAGTTGCTCGGACGTGCAGGTATCAAGCTCTGGGTCCTGACTGGAGACAAGGTCGAGACTGCTATCAACATCGGATTCTCCTGCAATCTTTTGAACAACGACATGGAACTCATGCACATCAAGGTAGACGAAGACGAGACCGGCACAACCACGGACGAAGAGTTCATGGGCCGTGTCGAGCAGCAACTCAAGCAGGGGCTTGAATCGTTCAACATCACGGGTAGCGATCAAGATCTCGCTGATGCCCGAAAGAACCACGAGCCACCAGCACCAACACATGCTCTAGTCATCGACGGGTTCACTCTGAAATGGGTGCTGGATGATGCCTTGAAACAGAAGTTTTTACTTCTGTGCAAGGAATGCGCATCTGTTCTCTGCTGCCGTGTCAGTCCCGCCCAGAAAGCCTCGGTTGTGGCAATGGTCAAGACCGGTCTGGATGTGATGACCTTGTCCATCGGAGACGGTGCCAACGATGTTGCGATGATCCAAGAGGCAGACGTGGGTGTTGGTATTGCTGGTGTCGAAGGTCGACAAGCCGTCATGTCAGCAGATTACGCCATCGGTCAATTCCTCTTCCTCCAGCGGCTTGTCCTTGTTCACGGCCGCTGGTCTTACAGGCGGATGGCCGAAGTCATCGCCAACTTCTTCTACAAGAACATGATCTGGACATTCACCATCTTCTGGTACCAATGTTACTGCGACTTCGATATCACATATATCTTTGAGTACACCTACATCCTCCTTTTCAACCTCATCCTGACATCGGTCGTTCCGGTCCTCATCGGCGTTCTCGACCAGGACGTTTCTGACAAAGTCTCCCTGGCTGTTCCTCAACTGTATCGTCGTGGCATCGAGCGCCGGGAGTGGACGCAACACAAGTTCTGGTAAGCCCCTGGTCTACGTTTTCAAATATGTGATTGTACTAACCGCGAGCAGGATGTACATGTTTGATGGTCTATACCAAAGTGGAATAGCCTTCTTCATTCCTTACGTGGTCTTCGCGCGGACGTCCGTCGTCAGTGGGAACGGCTTGGATGTCATGGACCGGTACCGTTTCGGTGCCTATATTGCACATCCTGTGATCATCACCATCAACCTCTATATCCTCATCAACTTCTACAGATGGGATTGGCTCACGCTCCTGGTTGTCTGCATCAGTGATCTCTTCATCTTCTTCTGGACTGGCGTATACACTTCGTCGACGTACTCGTCGCAGTTCTACAAGGCAGCTCCCCAAGTGTATGGCGAGGCCACGTTCTGGGCTGTCCTCGTCATTACGCCAATCATTTGCATCATGCCTCGTTACGCCATCAAGGCTTTGAGAAAGGTCTACTGGCCCCGAGATGTTGACATCATTCGAGAACAAATAAGTCAGGGAAAGTTCGACGAGGTCCTGAAGGATGAGAAGCAGGACGCAGACGAAGAGGTGGCGATGAAAGCGAGTTTCTCGGGCTCCTCAGAGTCATCACGGAGGAGAAAGCATCAGACATACCAGAGCGTTGATGAAGACCTCAGGCCCATCTACCCACCGTCTGTTGCCACCCAGTCCGTTACAACATACAACGCTCATAGCCCAAACAATAGTGACGGCACAAACTACACAAGGCACGGGCCGTCGATGGACTTGCCTGTTAGCCAACCTGCGGATATCCCCGCGCGTCCTTCGTTTGATCGCGTCCGGCCTTCGTACGATCGAATCCGGGCTTCCATGGACCGCGTACGGCCAAGCTATGAAGCGACAAATGAGTTTACGTCTGCTGCTATGTTGAGTCGGCTCGAGTCATCCCGTTCCGGCGTACCAAAAGTACCGGATGTACCAGAATCTCAAGGGAGTGGAATAATAGGGAAAATCCGACGGCGTACCCGGGGCAAGTCCTTCAAGTCAGCGTTTGGCTCCCATCATCACAAGGACACCAATCAGCATGATAACAACGACCCTGACAACATCGACGAGTGAAAGAGACTCGTTGCGCAACGCTCGGCAAACGCCGGGTAAAACCCATCCGACGTATACACGTCCTCCTTGTTTCCCTTGCATATGATATCCTGCGCTCTCGGCGCTCATCTACGATCTCCCACGAGCAATCTGCCATGCGTGCACTCATCACGGCTATCGCATCTTCACTTCGGACGAATGTCTACCTTTTTACGGTTTCTGCGCTGGCGTTGGCGTTATATTGGTGGTTCAAAGACCGCTGTACGAGATGACGACGTTGGCCTGGAGATTCGGGCTCCGGGCTTTTGTTTGGCATGCTAGACTTTCTTCTTTGAACATAGCCGCTACTGCATACCGCTCTGCCAATCACGTATTACAGTGACAGCCTCCGCTCAGGAAGCTTTCCATCGAACGCACCCGCTCATTGATTTTCTTCGTGTTGATTTTGCTTCAAGAGTTCCATTGGTCAAGAGGGGAATGGCGTTCGGCGGAAAGAAGGTCCTGGGTTTTCTCAGATTTGATGGCAGACAGCATGTGCGTGCATGGCGGGCGATTCGACGGGAAGTGTGTGTTGGCTCTCTCTTTCCACGGGGCGGTATGTAATCCCGGCTTCTCCCGCCACCCGTGTATATAAGGCTGGGATCATAGGAGGGAATTGATGGACATCGCTCGGTCGCTTTGCGGCGGTAGAGAGCGGTGGCATCTGAAGTGAATATATAATAGGCCAGAACTGGTATGTTGGTAGTACGGAGAGTTCGCTCCGAAGCTGGGGAGAAGAAATGAACGTTTATGCCCCCTATCTTTTGCTAGTCTTGTCTTTCTTGCCTTGCCTCGGCTCCTTGTAGATGCTGTATGACTTGAGTGCCGCTTCCATGTATAGAGGATGTGGTCTGGTAAGGCTGCCTTTGCCTTGCCAGAGGACATCTAGATACCCGCATGGGATAAAGAAACCCCAGGCCGGGTCTTGGAGGGAGCTGCGATAAGAAGCGGCGCCACGATGGCTCATCTCAACAGCCACACTTGCCCAATTAGGCTGTCACCAGCCACAAGACCCTGACCCTGAACGCACTCAGCCGACTTCTCTCCATTTTGGCCGAGATCATTGATCATGCCACTGGAAGCGACGTCCAGCTTGTGCAATTGAGCGCGCCTCTTTGCTCGGGTCATAACGTCCCATGATCTGTCCAAGAGAGGCTGACCTGGCTGCCTACCTGGGTAAATACCACACCAGAGATTCGGGAAGCTGTGCTTGAAGTCACTGCAGACAAACAGACAAAATGGCAGTTGAGGATCTGGAGAGATGGATCGAGCAGTTCAGTCTTCTGATGCGAGACTTCCCGTACGTGTCCTGCCTTGTGCCTTATCATAGCCAGCTGAAGACGGCTTTCTAAAGCTCTACATGTAGGATCCGCGACTTCAGCTACATCACCTTCCCGTTCGTCCTTGTAGTCATCGGCGGGTTCTTCCTCTACACTACCCACGTAGACTACTGGGACAAGCCCAAGCGATATACCATCCCGGCCCCCAAACAACCCGCCGAGACGAAGATCCTCGAGAACCCGACCATCAAGGCGTCCGGGACGACGGCAATACAATGCTATGCTCCGGCGACGGGCCAGTTCCTGGGCTTCGTCAACCCGTCCACGCCCGCGGGCCTCGATCGCGCCATCGCACAAGCCGCCGCCGCACAGGAGAAATGGGCGCAGACCACGTTCGCCGAGCGCAGGAAGGTTCTGCGGTCAATGCTGCAGTACATCCTCGAGAACCAGGAGCAGATCTGCCGTGCCAGTTCGCTCGACTCGGGCAAGACCATGGTCGACGCCCAGCTGGGGGAGATCATGGTGACGGTCGAGAAGCTGCAGTGGACGATCAAGCACGGGGAGGAGGCGCTGCGCCCGAGCAAGCGGCCGACGAACCTGCTGATGACGTACAAGAAGAACACGGTGCACTACGAGCCCATGGGCGTGGTGGCGGCTCTCGTCAGCTGGAATTACCCCTTCCATAACCTGATGGGGCCCATTATCAGCTCTATATTCGCGGGCAATGGGATCGTGGTCAAGGTCAGCGAGCAGACGTGCTGGAGCGCTGCGTACTACACGAGCATCGCGAGGGGTGCTCTCGTAGCACACGGCCACGACCCGTTGCTTATACAAAGTGTGGTCTGCTGGCCGCAGACGGCAGGACATCTCGCGAGCCATCCGGGCATCAACCACCTCACCTTCATCGGCAGCCGGGCAGTCTGCCATCACGTCGCGGCAAGTGCTGCGAAGAGCCTGACCCCCGTTGTAGCAGAGCTCGGCGGCAAAGACGCGGCAGTGATCCTGGACTCGGCAACAGGGGATCTGAAGAGAATAGTCGACGTCCTTATGCGCGGCACCTTTCAGGCCTCGGGCCAAAACTGCATCGGCATCGAACGCATCGTCGCCGCGCCCGGCGTCTACGACAAGCTCGTCTCCATGCTGGCGCCGCGCGTGCAGGCGCTACGCATGGGTCTCGACAAGGACGTCGGCGCCATGGTCTCGGACGCCTCGTTCTCGCGCCTGGAGAAGCTGGTCGAAGACGCCGTCGCCAACGGCGCTCGCCTGCTGGCCGGTGGCAAGCGATACTCGCACCCGGACCACCCGCACGGTTTTTACTTCACCCCCACCCTCGTCGTCGACGTGACGTCCGACATGGCGCTCGCGAACGAGGAGTGCTTCGGGCCCATCATGACGGTCCTGCGCGCGCCGTCCCCTCACGCCTCGGACCTCCTGGCCCTCGCGAACGCGCCCGCCTTCGGACTTGGGGCTTCCGTCTACGGCTCCGAATCCGACCGTGCGCTCCGGCAGGTGGTGAGGGGCCTGCGCGCCGGCGGCGTGAGCGTCAACGACTTCGCCGTCTACTACCTGGTGCAGCTGCCGTTCGGCGGCGTCGGCGGGTCGGGCTACGGCCGGTTCGCGGGCGAGGAGGGTCTGAGGGGCCTGTGTAATCTCAAGAGCGTGTGCGAGGACCGCTGGGGCTGGTTGGGGGTCCGCACGTCGATCCCGCCGGCTGCACGGTATCCCGTCCAGAGTCAGGAGAGGGGCTGGCGGTTCACGAGCGGGGTTGTGGTGCTGGGGTATGCGCTTACGCTGAGGGAGAAGGTTGGGGGGCTCGTGGGGATTTTGCGGAATAGTTGACGTATGGTCGGTCAGGCTTGACTTGGTTGACCGTGAGAGGAGAGCCTGACATGAGGGCCTGATGTGAGAGCCTGACGTGAGGAGGTTGGGGCTGTATATAGACGGAAGACGGGGAGGCGTGGGAGGCTGTATATATTGATACCCTGTAGAAGAACATAGATCTCCATATCTTAGGCGCCTGTCTATATGGAATACCCGTATTCGGCTTGTGTAGGAGGTTTTTCAAACACCTGGCAACATCATAGCATGGTCTACCACGCTCTCTCTCTATGGCCGTACTGTCACGTGCGTTATGATGATGAGCTTCACATTACGCCGCGTACTCATAATCTTCACGACCATATTCACTATGATCCTAGGCCGATCCATATCGTAATGTGGATCCAGTGCATGGACCCATATGTTGCCTGATGAAGGCTGCCTGGCAACCCTTTGTTGCCCCAGGTACCTCACCACTGTAATTGAGGTATTTAGATACATCTCGGATGGAATCCTTTCCATCCAGACAACTGATAGATTACAACAAGACTTGTGATTTATCAGCATCTGGGAAAGCTACCAAAAGGCACAGTAACGTAACAAGCACCTTCCATATTAGCTGCATCTTTGGCTCCCTCCACGTCATGTAAGACCAAGCAAGCCCCTTTCAATAAAAAGTCACATACAGACAACCCCTTAAGTCTCCGTTCCGCGCACCTCGAGGGCTCTCCTTATGGCAGGGATATAGACAGTCAAATAAGCACCCTGGGATAAGAACTTATATGCTAATAAGCCATGCTTCATGCCTCTTCTAGGGAGATCATTCCACGGATAATAAATGCCCCTGAATAATGCCCCTGAATATTTAAGACCTCGGGGACCGGGCGTATGGAGAAATGCTGGGAGATCGGTGGAGCCAAGTATCTGGACTCGGGGATGGTCCTGGGCGTGCAATAATGGACTGGAATGATGATGACTTACTCGAATGTAGGCTACCTATCTGTTCCTACCCCTTTTATCTAACGATCTCCTAGGCGCTACCAGTGTTGCTTGCCAACCACAATCAAAGTGCCTGATGCCGGACTAACGCCTCTGCGTGGCATCCCGGAGCCCGAGGCCAGGAGACCTGGACGCAGAAGCACGGGCGCTGCATATCGGGGTACTGCGTACTGCTGGCGAAACATTATAAGGCGTACACGATTCTTACAAAGTGAGACGAGGTTATGCCGAGGAGAGTAAGTGAGGTAGTCCATCCCCAGACGGGCCTTCAAGTCGGGACCGGTCAGCCCATTCGATCTCATATCCATGGGTATCGCCATCTAGCAGGCCTTCCATTTCCAGAAAGGTTTCCTGCGACAGGCCGTAGACGAGGGACGAACGACTGCCAAGCTTGAATTAAGGTGAGGCAGGTGAGAGCGACATGGATGGTTTGAGAGTGGAAGTATCAGTAGTTATTCACTTGCATCGTTGGCCGTCCACGTGGGGAGCCGAACTCGAGTGTGACGCCAGCAGTACAGCAAGTCATATCCTAGGTTTGTGGTGTTGATCTTCAGGAAAGAGGTCAAGAAAACAACTCAGTATGCAATGTAAGCCAAGACGCGATTCTATTCAAATTCCAATTATGACCCCTGAATACCTACCTATGTACCTACTATCACACCAGTGAACTCATCTGATTACCCACGTGGATATTCAGCCACCCAGTACCTAGTGTCAACCCCCCGATTGCACCTGGTACTGTAGACCATCCATCCATGAACCGAGACGTCCCCTCCCTTTGTGTATACCTACCTAGGTAGTCAAGGTATCCGAGACCAACAGCCAGGACTAGTCCGAGCCGCAGCACGCACGCATACAGTCACAGTCACGGGCATCTATCTCTGGAAACTTCCACGATGGACCAGCCGGGCCCCTCTGGCTCCCACGGGCGACTGACGCCTCGACAGCTACGCCCCGGCTTCTGCCTATTTGAACTCACGTGTACGAACCAACCCGAGGTATCATCACGGTTTCAAATAGATAGATACGCAACAGTGCCCAAGCAAAGGTACCATCATGCCATAGTATGCTAGGCCATGCGTGCCAAAGAGGCGCAAGCAGGCAGCCCACCCGTCCGTCCACCATCACTCGACGCCGACGAACACAGGCACCCATTCATGGACGTCACCACTCGGTACTCGCCACACAGGACTCACTCACCCACTCAGTTACTCACGCCCAACCAACAACAAGCAGAAAAGTCCCGCAGTGGCAACAACCTATCGAGAAAAATCTCTTAATGGCCAAGTGACCAACCAACCAACCAACCGAGCAGCCGGACCATCTTCTCCCAGAAAAGCGAACCGCGGTCTGACACGCGTGACAGCCAAATTGCCGTCAGTCACGAGGGTATCAGGTTGCTATGGGGTCCCGCTCAATGACTCAGTGAGTCAGTAAGCCAGCCAGACTGGTAGGCAGACAGGTCCACGACGCATAGTGACACATCCCAGAAACACCAACAAGACGCGAAGCGCGAAGCGAAGCGAGCAAGACGAAGAGCCAACCTACCCAGATAGCAGCAAGTGCTGGGGACGGACAGGAAGAACAGGATAGGATAGGCCAGGCTGTGACAGGGCATGGCAGGGCACGGCGGCGATGGCACGCCAAAGTACGCACGCACAAGGCCCAAGTAACCATCGTGAACGCCACCGGCCCAAAGCCCGCCCAGACCGAGCCCGTCGCGCACGAGGTGAACAGACAAAAAGTGCTTACTTACCTACGTACCCACCTTACCATACCTATCCTATCCTATCGTATCCCAACTCAAACTTGAGTGGAAGCAAGCTTCCTTGGCACGCAGCTGCCTGCCTACCCAGTATAGGAGAGATTAGCCAGAAGCGGTTGGGGTCGCCATGGCGATCAGGGCGACCAGGGCGACCAGCTGAGATGATTGGTAGGGCGCGCGATGGGGGGCGGGTATGTGTGTGTGCGCGCGTGCCTCTGTGTGAGGGCGGGACAGGAAAAACTTCACGATGAGTCACCGGCCGACCGACCTGCGGCGAGCTGCCCCCGATCCTTCTAGACTGGCCTGACGGTCTCATGTCAGCGAATCAGCCACGCTTTTAATAGAACAGACGGATGAGTGTATTCAGACCCGGCGAACTGGCGAACTGACGGTGCACATTCGGTTCGTTAGTACCCAAGGTCGGGAGTTGGCGGATGGGTGTTGGATTCCACATGACCATGTATTGTTGCATTTGATAAGTCCTTGAGACGACGCACGAGATATTGACTTAGGCCATCTAATTGCGGGTGATCGAGCCCTGATTTCCCGGCTCGAAGGCATGTTCTGATTTTCCATGCTATCTGCGAGGTTGTGTATTTGGTTCCACGGGCTCTCAAATACGGCTTGTGTGCTCAAAGCCTCTGATTATCAATTGCACATCACCTTTTCACTCCAAATAGGTACGTGGTGTAACCAATTCGTCTTTGTGCTTGTGTAGCTACCGCCGTCCGGGACTTGAGCCTCCGTATTTCGACGGTGCCCAACCTGAGTCGGTCGGTAAGAATGCTTGAACTTGGACAACCAAGTAATGACAAAACTCCGAGTTTATGCAGTTGGTCGCCAGTATGGACAGCCAAAGCCGATTCGCCTCGTGCCTCGAAGTCGAGCCACCAAATGTTGCCTTACCAGTCCATGATACCCTCCGCCATCGCCATACTATGATTACCCCTGAACACCGCCGTGAAGCAGGCAGTTCCCTGTTCATCGTACACAACAGCTACCCGCATCGCAACTCCAGTATGCGGCCATCCTGGAAATGCATGCATGCAGGGTGACAAGCTTTTCGCCCTGTCCTTGGTCCCCGTCGGGGGTATCTATAAACTAGATGTCTTCCAACAGTGGTATCAAATGCCGAGAAGACGATTCCAATTCCAGCACAGACAAAAGAAAAAGTTGAATATTGTAACAAGTAAGTTTTATTGCAGTTGGCGTTCGAATAGAACCGATCCGTGGCTCTCAGTTGAGAATGCCCGCCCACATTCCAGGTCCTCCGACTCCTCCCACAGCAGGATGCATTGTGGGGATCGCAGAGGAAGTGATAGGGGCATCGGACGAGTAGCACACTCGCTTTCTGCCCATGTCTTGGGTCCCAGCATGCGAGTAATACTGGCCGCTCAACATATCACGGACATTCGAATAAAGCGAGTTGTCGATCGACGATGGTCGAGCTCGCTTCGAGCCAATTCGAGCAGTCGAGTGATCTTGAGTGTAGCCCAAATAAGAGCTCCGAAGATCCTGTAGAGCACGAGCGGCATCGGCAGCGTCGTCCATCTCACATCCTTGTCCTGCCAATGGGATGTCAAATGACATCTGGTACAGATCCTTGCCCACCGTGCCGGTGTAAGAATCAGGTGAGGATGTGATGCAATTCTCTTCATAATCTTCTGGTACCGAAGCGATGGCTGGTCTCACACTGTACCTCTCTCCATACAGCTTCGCGTTTCGGCAACGCGCCTGAACATCCAGTTTGGTGGACGGCGCAGTAGCCAACGACGATGCTGACGAGATCGAGGATGAGCGTGATGTGCGGGATGAATCGGATATCATCGATTCCGGTGAAGATGCGTTTGAAAGGGAATTGGCAAGTGAAGAACGGCGTGTCGTGTAGTAGCTCTGAGGCGACGTGTTCGAAACGGGCCAACGGTCAAGGTTCTGGGATGCCGAGACATGGGCAGCCTGAGCCACAGCCAGACTCATCGAGCCCCTTACGCCAAGCATACAGGTAGCAGCATTCACAGCTGGAGTGCTGAACCCAGCCGACTGCGGAGTGAGTCGCGGCGTAGGCAGAAGGCCAAGGGCGGGTGCAAAACGGCCGGGGGTATAAACAGTGGCCGGTGCAGGTTCCATCACGGCAGGCGTGATGTAGCTCTTGGGAGTGGGCGTCGCGTCGCCTTCCGAGAACGTAAAAGCAAAGGTACGCTCCAATGGAGCCGCGACTTGCAGTGGCTCCCGAGCTCGTCTGAGCTTAGAAGGACTGACGGGAATCAGTTCCTCAATGTTGTCCAGCTTAGGGTTTAGTCGAGTTAACAAGTTCCGCCAGAGTTGGGTCCGTTGATCTGTAGCTTGAGATGCTGCGACCGGTCTCGGAGACGGAGGCTGCGACGATGATACGTACTTCAGTACGATCTCGGTCCAGCGTTGAAATATTTCGTCTGTGATGTGAAGGTTCCATTCCACTGCGGTCAGAAATGTCATCTCATTCTGGTTAATCTCCAGAGTCGCAAGTCCAGAAATCTTGCTCCAAGCACGGGCTGAGTAGTTACGGTCCTGAAGATACTTGGAGGCCAGAATCAGGGCGGCCAGGAACATCCGACGACCACACTGCAGGACCTTGTTTGCAGAACCGTCATTCGGTTGCTCCATAGTAAAATCGTGACTCGGTACGTGCGGCTTGATCAGGATCAGATAATACAAAGCAACCTGTAGGGTGGAGTAACTGGTGCGAGAACGGCGCAAAGTCTCCTGAATGAACGTGCGCAGCGGTAGCACAGCCTTGCTACCTAACTCATCTCGATGAAAAACCGACGCCAGCGGCCATATGGCTTCAACGATTCGGGTTGAGGAATCTAGACGATGTTGAGCTCATGCAGAGGGGCCAGGACGTATCGTTCAAATCTTACCGACAAGGCTATCGACAAAGCTGACCTTGCGATCGCTTTGTCGCACCAAGGCAGGAGGGCATCCAGACTTGGCAGCTGTACTGTTACTAGTGCGTCGAGGATTCTGGCGAAGTTCTTGAGGAACCTCGACCGGCTTTGACTGTTCCAACCCCGAGGTTTGCAGGGATAGTTGCGGGCAACGACCACGCGGCCGCTGGATTGGCTGCGAATAGGAGAAATGATCGCATTGTTCCGACGGGGCGGCGGAAGTAGTGGAATAGGAGGTGTCGTCGGAGGATTGGGAGGCATCGGACCACACCGAAGTGGAAGACGATGAAGCCGATGTCGCTAACGAGGAGTTGTAGGGGCCATTTGGGAGGGAGTTGACGAAGTCCAGCGAATCATGTTCGCTGCACATCATCTTGAAGGGTTGGCGTAAGTTGGAGTCGGAATATGAACCTCCAGTCGTCCGTCAAGCCGAGTCAGCCAGTCAGATCGTTGTATCGTGAGATATCGCGAAGTTCTATCGAATGAGCCTCACAACTGCATAATATGCGGTTGTCAAGCTGTCGAGTTTCGAAAGAGGGTGGTTCTAGACACAAGCGTCTAGAATCAAGGTTTCACGAACGATCAGACCGGAAGACAGAGCGGGACAGACGACTGGGGTGGTAATGGTAATATTCGCAGGAAGCATCGTGTGGTATTTGTTTCAACCAGGGAAACAAGAGGTGGGTGTGACGGGCAGGAGGGCAGCAGCTAGATTGTCATCGAGCTGACTGCTACCATACCAGGTGTGTCACAAGGGAAGTCGAGAAACGGCGTGTGAAATGGTTGCGTTCGAGTACTTCGCAAGTCGTAGAGGAGGCGCGCAATTCGATGCGGTGAGTTCGACAGGAAGAGGTGCAGGGTCGATGCGATTATGCAAGGTACGGACTGCAACCACGGTCTACCGATCAAGACGTATGCGGGTGGTGGGTGGGATGGGCGACGGGAGAGGCCTTATAACCAGGGACCGAGGCGATGGCGAATAGTAGGTGACAGGTATGTATGTCTGTCTGTATGAGCGGAGATGGTGACTTGACGTGATGTGGGTTGATGAGTCGCGTGGGCAACCGAAGACGGATGTGGCAGGGTGTGCAAGTCGCCGCCTTTGGGCTGGGTCACCTAGCGGTATTGATGGAGATGACTCTTCTTCCCTTGAGGATTAGGTGGCGAAGGCGAAGGCGAGGGCTGGTCGGATCATTAGGCACCGTGGGACCACTGTAGCGCGAGAAGTACAGGTGGTTTTTGTGGCGGGATTCGGGGGTCCAGGGTGGTAGGTGCTGGAGTTGGCGTGATTTGGTGGGTGGCCGGGTGGGTGGCTAGGTGGCCAAGACTGGATGGAGCCTGGCTATCCTGGAATCTGGACTGGGGGTTGGACTGTGTGATTACCAGGACCGACCGAATGACGAGAAAGAAGGTGACTCCAACTGGCAGGTGCCCAACAAGCGCTGAAGCCTGGAAAGGTGAATGGATTCCCTTTCACGAGCGGTGGCAAGTGAGTAACGATAAAGGATTGAGCGGAGATTGGTGCATTCAAGAAAAGCTTATAAGAATTAGGTAGAGACGGAAACAGGCTTGTCTTTGAGTAACACGGCCTGGTGCTGGCGGTCGTTGTTGTTGCTGTCGCTCAGAGAAAACTAGGATTAATCGGTATGGGGGCGAATCCTCTCTTCTTTCGGATCCTCCTGGAGGATGAGTCTCGGTGCGCAAAGTGCAAGTGAATGCCACTGCAGTACCAGAGAAAGCGAACAAGGACAACACGTGGGGTGGGATGAATGGAACAGTAGAGTTGAGAGTTGAGTGATCTGTCGTCGGCGCACTCGAGCAGACTTTCAAAGAAGTCGCTGTGTGGTTCTCTAGATCTTGAAATTGAACATTGCGTCGGCTTTGTTCGATGGAGGGAGAGGGAAACGGGGGACTCGGCGGGTGCTTGGGGTACAGGCGAGTTTTGAGTGTTGAAAGGGAATCTCGGCGGCAGTCGCACTGGCTAGGGGCACGACCACAGAGAGCGGTACAACAAGAGGATTGATGCTGCACATGCTGCTTGGCTACAGCTGGCTGGCACACTCGTGCAGGTCAAGGCCCAAACTTCTCCTGCCACATCATAGGAGGAGGAGGAATAAAAGGAGTACAGTGGAAGTAGGGGGTGTGTCTGTAGCTCTAACTCTGGAAATAGAGCGGGGCGGCTTGGAATTCGAAGACCTTCAATTGGATGGTCGACCACTCGACTGACGAGGCTGGGGTGTTTCAACTTGCACCCGCCGAAGTGCGCGTACGAAATGCGGCGCCGAAAGAAGCATAGTGCTAACTTAGCCTTTCCACTGATTGGAGGATGCAATCCCTCTCAAGCAGACAGCGTAGCCAATGCGCAGGGGTTTGGCAAAGGGTGGTCACAACTTGCAATCAGGTCCTGGCTTAGCGCTGCCCGATGTGGTAAGGTGTGGCTGCAAGATAACTGCAAGCAGCCAGCCATGCGACAGGCAGGGAAATCACAACGCACCCGACTGGATAAGTGAAGAGTCATCACCTCTTCTCTTCTGCTCGCGAGTCGCTGCAGGTGGGCAGTTGAAGTCAGACCAACAGCCGTAGGATGAGCGCATCTATCCCCTGTACGGAGCACCTAGGTATGCAAGTACTATCCCGCGATACATATGCGCTTGCTTTGCGCATAGGATACGAAAAGATGACGGGTCTATATTCATCATGTTACAGACATTGTGTCTTCGCCCATACTGACAAGTAAGAATTACCGTGGAGAGATACCCAACCAGACACATTATGAAGGCTGGAGCTGAGACTTCTTGAATCATGGTGTAATGTGGCTGACCTCGCAACAACATTTGAAGTCAGGTGCGGCTTCTAGTGCAAGGCGGCGTGAACTTCAACGCCATCTCGTCAGCTTTCCCCTTTTCGTTGCCAGCATTTATTACTCATTTAACAGGCATGACGTATATCTGGGGTTAATCAAGAAGGCCTTGGAAATGAGAGAGTTTGACGACTTCAAACAGTCACCGCATAAATCTTCTGCAAATGCTACATCGTTCTCGTTGTCTGCACATGTGTAGGGAGAACATGCTCTGCAATATTCCCGCCGGCATTAGCCCTGCCAACATACCTACCTATCTACAGCAACTATATGTCTGCTTGATTTGACGGTACATATTTCGCGAATTGTTAACATCTCAAATCATCATGCAGTAATACCTTCCTACTACTAGTCGATATCGTGGGTAGAGTGCATCCGTTCCGTTCATCGGAAGAGCGGAATTGGTCAACATTATTATGTCATTGTGCTTGCAACCAGCGGCCTTTTGCCAGCTGGCAAACTTGGAAACCGCAGGTGGCAAACCCCTCTAACTTGGTCCGGTGGCCGTACCCATCGCCTTCACGAACCTTATCATCCACCATCGTCAATTTGCCACTCCTCCAACCACTTCACGAGTTTGCCTCAAGATGAGCAGTCTATCGCGCGTCTAAATATGTCACAAGTGCTGCCAGAATGACGCATCGCCGAAGGGCGATCATACAAGACATGCGAAGCAAACTGCAAAGCTGCCCTGCAAACTACCCCTCGGTGCCCACTGCCGGGTTTCCATTCCCGGCTTCGCCCTCGCCCTCTGCCGGATCCATGTGTTTGAGGTTTGCTACTATTTTAGCAACACACCTGGCAGGAACAGAGTCACGGAATAGCAACACGTACTAACCAGTTAACACGCTCACAGCCTGCCCAAACATTGTTGATGCTTGTGTCAAGCGACTCATAGCAACCAACTTGCGCGAAGGCTGAACACACAATTTTTATGGAAATGCCCTTCGTGTGATGCCTGCACACACGGAGAGCACGCCATCTGTGCCGGTATGCATTCACGCCTCAGGCAGCAAGTGCGCCCAGCGAATGAACAGTGAGATGAAAGTCAAGCCAGCCACCTTCACGAAGCTCACTGACGATTTCGAATTTTCCATCTGGCGTATGGTGGCGTGAAGTCCTATCAGAGTATGGCCTTCATGATATCGTCGAGTATACTGGGGAAGCACCGAGTTTCTGGCATCGCCGTAACTGATCTCGGCCAGTGAAGGACTTTGCCCCATCCGCTTCTTCAGGCAAGGCGATACACCCCATCTTAGGCTTTTCTTCAGGCTATGAAATCATTTCGAATCATCCCTGAGTATGGAATGTCACGATATCTCTCAAGCAAGGCGTACTGCTAGTGGATGGACGACATACATAGTATTCATGCTGAAGAACGCCAACGAACCAGCCTGCGAGCATGCGACGCGGACAAAGACGACAGGTGACAGTCGCTGCCCGCTATTTTAGAGTGTATCGGCAAGCCATCTCGAAACAGCGCCCTCTCAGCCTTTCGCATGACCTTCCTCGCGCCAACCAATGAGTCTTGGCGGCCCATTACAGCCCAAACCGCGATGACTAAACTCCAGTTCACATCTTGCTGTGGAATCAGACTCATCAATTATTAGCTGCGCCCCAGACAGGCATGGCGGACTTCATCTAATCTCTACGGGAGCGAAAGCGCGAGATCGGAGGATGAGACAGATTTGTGACTCCAATGTTGCGTGTCACAGCTATGGTTGTCGGCGAGGCCTCACTCGCCTTACCGTTGACGCAACCCAGCTGATGACTACTTTACCTAGGCGGCATTGTTGGTGAGACATGACCCGAAGTTCGCTGGTGGCATTGTCGGCGTGACAAGTGCACTCACGAGGCCGGCAGAGAATTTTCAACTCAACAGCTGTTGATGAACATACCACTGGGCAAATCACCGCTTACAGCCGGTATCAGGTAGCAACAGCTGTTTCGGCAGGCCTTCGACATCTCGCTGCAATCATACCACATCTCGTGATGGTGCTACTGTCGCCCAACGCCTTTCTTCCTCATTTCCATTACCGCGCGGGTTTTACTAACATGACGATATGTACCTAATTCACGCGCAGATAGTGAGATCGCCCTGCGTCCTTCCGGTCATCCGACCAAGGCCACTAACACCTAAATCGGTATTCGCCTCTCATCCAATAGAGCATACGAAAGGCAACTCCGGGGGCTCCATGTTCTAGAATAACTATCTCGGATCTTGCCTAGTGGCTCAGACGGCCGATAGATGCCTTGTGTAGGAGCCTCGACGGTGCAAGACACGGAGCAAACCTTAAAGATTCGGACCTTTGTGTGTCATTTCCTGCAAATCTCGACACTCTATCTTGCCCCGAGATCTGGAGAAAGCAAAGGCAGAAAACTGCCTTCGCCGGCGCGACATGCACGCTGATCCCGACGACCAACGACAGACTCCCAAATCCGCGTGAGGGTGTGGTAGCCAAGGCGCCTCGAGGACTTCGCCCCCGGGGCCAATGACGATGGCCGGAGTTGCTTGCAAACAATGCAGCGAGCCAGACTGAGGTAATTGGTAATTGGTTTGTTGCACCGCCGCCCTTCCGCATGGTGGGGTTGGAGAGGAGGATGGGCAGGATGAGTTGATCTTGACTATTCCCGTTCACCTCAGACGAATCCTCTCATGTTCAGTCCCCGTGAGCTACTTCCTAACAGACGTAGATGTAGCGATCTACGGTACTATTCAGATTAGGTAAGTGACAAGACATACTCTCGGGGGCAGGCGACGCCACCTACCACTCAACGGCGACCGAGGAGCTCAGGTGGTGTGGCGGCCATCGTGGCGAGTCCGAGACATATCGTGTCGCAATGAAACCTTCATGTGTGTGTGTTGCGCTGGCAATGCGCCATTCAAGGTTCGGCATCTCAGATGGTAGTATTGCACGGTATTCCAGGTCATCAATCGGTCCTCGTCAGGAACGCCTCGCTATCTAGCTCGTAGGCAGGCAGCCTTGGACGAAGATGAAGACAGGCTTGCTAGGTTGAATTCATGCTTTGCATGGCCGAGGCTCGGCATGGGGAAGCCCATTACGATGTCTCGGCTGCGGTGGGAACCACGCACTTCGACTCCGCCCTCGTCGGGTTCGTAGCTGCCACGCGCAGCCAGCAGCATCGTGAACGATGATGAATTATGCTGCGACTATCAAATCAATCTGTGGGGTTCACATCGCCTCACAGCCATCGTCGGGTACCTGGCATTGCATGTGCGAGGCGCGCGTCGTGTTCGCGCGCTCTGGTCCAAGCGTGACGGCGAAGGGCCATGTCCCTCAACTCCACGTTCCATTCCGACATGTGTATTGATCAATACGGGATCGAATGAGGGCAACATCCGACCGGGGCCGGGCCTGGATTCACGAGGTTGAAATTCATTCAATCCAAACCGGTTCAAACCAATTTAGCAGCGGCCTTCGTCATGATCCGATTGTTGGGGTCCGCCAGCGCACATCATCATCAACAGCATCGTCTAGCCACATTTGCAGATCTGCAGATTCGTTGATAGTATTATTGTTTTCGTAGCCCCAGGTTGCATCCCCAATTCTGCGCGGGAGCTACGGGCGGGCGGCCATCGGGCAACACGCTTGCTACTGTACCCAGATATGCCAGAGGACGAGAGGAGATCTCGCCCCCAGGTCGCCGCCACCTTACCTGCTTTGCTTACCTACGATCTTGCGAGCGCCTGACTGCAGTGGCGGCCCGACACACATCTGATAGGTTGCGCTTACAGACGACATATCATGTTCCACAGGCTCCCATCGTCAAAGGCAGGCTGGCAGGCTGGCAGGCTGATCATATTGATCGTCTAGTGTAGATCGCGTCTAGACTTACCACTGCCGCTGGCGGATTTTCCATCCAGAGCAGTCTGTGTAGCCGTCAGATTCATGAGTGTCAGGCCGTCAGCATCATCCGCAGCTGTGTAATCACACCAGCCTTTTTCTTTTCGGTCGATACACGAGCCGGACAGGATCCTCGATCCCATTCACGCACGAGTCATGACGTTGAAGGCTTCATTCATCGCTTCTGTCGCCTTTGTATCTGCCCTGATAGGTATTCGATGTTGGCAGCGCTGCCGATGGGATCTAGGCAGCTGTCTGTCTGTATATCGTTCACGATCCTTAAATCATATCCAGCCCGAACATCAGGTCCACCACCTGGTAATGAGCGCCTGCCTGTCTGCCTGTCCACCTGGCTCAGACTCCCAATGACTTCCAGAAACATTCCACAACCGAGGCTGGCGAATGGCAGCCCTCCGTGACATCCGTTCAAATTCAATCCCCACCGCATATCCGTGGCGTCCAAAGTTGCCAACTGCGCCGGGCCAGGCAGCAGCGTTGTCGATGCTGGGATCTTTTCTCGCGCAGTACTTTTTACCGTCAACAAGCACCACCCCAACCAACCATCCTGCCGTCTGGCCGAATCTGTAACGAAGGAAGGCTGAAAAAGCTTGGTGTAGATCTTGATTTCATGCTTATTTCCGTCCTCGCAGGCTACAATATTAAGGTAGAAAGATAGGGTTGGAATTTCTCGAACTTGGCGCTCGGTGAAACCTTCCCTGACCTTGACCCCACTTGACTCCATGCTCATGCTTGCTCCCTTCGCGTCAGGCTACAGTATATCTTAAGGTCTGGCTGGCACAGAGATGAGATGGTGCTTCGTGATCCTCATGTAATAACCGCGAGATCCTGTCCAGGCTGTCAGACAGGTCACAGGCGAGGCTGTGCGGCGCTGCCTCCGCGAACGAGCAGGTATCAGGGGCTGGCTGGTTGGTTGGTTGGTGAGTTGGTTGGTTGGGCGCTTGTCTGCTGACAAGTACAGTAACTACCGTGTAAGGAATGCGATCCTCGCTCTTTCTCTTTCTCCACATCGAGGCCGATCAGACGCGAATGAGTGCGGGAATCGAAGTTCCTTGGAGGGACGACACGGCATTCAGCTTGCCCGGGTTTCTCCCGACTCCAACGTCATGTCTTGGGTAGGCGATAGAGCCGCTCGAATCCGTCATGCTGACAAATGCGTCAACGGGTGTGGCGTTTAGGGGCGGTATCGTGTGAGTGATGATTCTGTCTGTCACTCTATCGTGTCAGTACTGGGTCAGGTGGGTAGGTAGGTAGCTGGATACGGTACGCGTACCAGGGAGACAGCGCGCACGAGACCACATGACTCCCACCGTATGCGAGCGCGCTCTTCAAGCTGTATCCAGTGGTCCAGCTGGTTCATTCTCGCCTCAGCTGACTGACTGACTGTGGGACGAGTGGTGAGCAGGTCAGAAGGCGGTACGATGGACAGGTCGGCTTACGGTGGGTATCGCAGCTTATGGTGGTGCATGGACAGTGTTCACGATGGGCATGGTGGGCGCGAATGACTGTGTAACGCCAACGACCCATGCTCCGGTTGCTGGGAGTCACATACTGACTGGCATCATGACTGATTGATACTGTCATGAACATATGAGTACAGTATGATCCCTGAAATAATGTTAAATGGCGTCCGAGCGAATACATGACAGGCCTTTAAAACGTCGCGGCCGGGGTCTTATAATTCATTCTCCCACACCAACCGTTTCATATTCACACCCTCCCTCATATAAATATTCGAATGCTGCTATGTAAAAAGAGGCTATTCTCCCTACCAGAGGAAGTACGATGTCCCAGGGAGTGACCTGTGTAAAACCAAGCTATCAAGACCCCTCAAGTGTTGCTAACAGTGTGCTTGCAAGTATCTTGATCCTCAGCAGGCAACATTATTTCAGGGGGTATACTCTACGTGCGCTGCGCTGCCTGCCAGACACAAGGTCCCTCCCTGGCCGTGGGTCCCCGGGGTGACTCTTACTATGTTTCAAGAAAGGCCGAAGTCGTCGCGGAGTCAGGCGGCAAACCGAGGACGTGTCACATCGGTGCCTGATAGTGGCGAAACGCACTGGGCACATAGATTGTGAACTGTGAGGAGGTCTTTGCCGTGGCGACGGAGTGGGCCTCACTTGAGCATTGGACTGGGCCAGGAGGCGACGAATTGTGACTCGATCACTTCACGATGGTCTGTGTCGAGAGTGGCGAACCCGATGCCTTTGTGGCAATGGTTACGAGGAGGTCTCTCCCAAATAGTCTGGTGTTGTCTCAATATCGTTCTTCATCTCGAAAGGGTGTGAGCCTGGTGAGTAGCATGCTCGTCCTCGCTGCTTGTGTTCAGGCGCGCTGGGTATCCGCCACTGCTCGGATAAGCATACGAGCAACACAGGCTGTCCACGACCTCGACGGCTGAGCCTTATTTGGTTAGCTCGAGCAAGTCATTAGCTGGAAGCCATGACATGGATAGGTGCATGGTAGTCTTGTGCTTCATGGTGTTGCCATCTGCTGCTCGTGAAAGACGAGACGTGCCGCTGCAGAATTCCGAGTCGACCGAGACAGGAAGTCTGTTCCAGGCGGCAGTTGGTACGAGCGCTTCTTCAAGTATATGAATCGACACATTGGAAGCCATTCCGATGGCGACGTTTCCATAGTTGGAAGAGCCCGAAGGTACTGCATAAGTGGTGATGTGAAGCCAGGCCCGCCACACTATACACTCCGCTGAGGCAATTGACTTCTTCGATTTCAAGCTGTGTCTACCAGCACTCTAGGACACGAATCTTTATCAGTTTCCACGATCACGGTCTCTACAGACATAGAGCTTGGGGCTCCTTGCGAGGGCTTGGAATATGTTCCAGAAGTTGTGCGTTCAAGACTGAAGCCCCTGGAGCAGGTCTTTCATCAACCAGCCAGTACGATGCAAGACCATGGAAAAGCAGAAAACGGAGCATAGGAACCTGACCAGTCAAGTCAGTTTCTAATGCAGCGAGAAACTCGCCGCGCATTTTGGGAACGCGGGCTCTCTTTGTCGATGTTCCCATGATGGAACATACTATAACAAGCCCAATCCAGCTCTGGATGTGGTGTACGCCTGATAGGATCATCGTGCTTCTAGGGTCCATAAGATACACCGAGAGGTGATCTTAATAATATGTTAGATGAATTGCATTATCTGATCCCTTTCTACTTGGCATTAGCTGCGCGCAATCACATTGTTCGAAGCCCCCTTTTGGTGAGGCACATATCCATCGTTCAGGGACTTGCCTCAGCCCGGGCAGCTAGCGGTCTAAGAACACGCTCACATTACAATCTTATTATCGTGTTCATCGAGCCGGACGTCCCTTCCTTCTTCATGACGCACCTCTTCGGCTGTTGCAGCGGGGCACCGCTTGTTGCTTTTCCGACTCAGAGTCGCCATGTTGACGACGAGTGAGGAAGGAATACAATGTATATGTCAGTGTTTTAAGTCGCCTTCGTGAGTAGCGAACTCTTCAGAACTGAGCTCAGAGGAAGAACCAGACAATGAGTCACAGGCGGAGCAGAAAACAGCAAGCCATAAGTGCCCCCCAACAGCACCGCACAACGCGGACAGGATCACGGACAGACAGGGACGCCCTCGTAACAACTGTCGCGGCAGAGGTAGCACACTCAGGGACTGCGGTAACCAGTAGCCACAAGGGCATACAACGGTCGCCGAGGCGGTTCGAAGCGCAGGAGGGACGACGAACGGTACGTCCCTTGTTTACAGACATTGCGCATAAGGATCCGTCCGCGAGCGTTACTGGAAGTTTTCATAGATCCATAGGTATTCACTATTACCGGGATAAACACACTTCAAGTAAGCATTCAAAGTAGCTCATCGGAATGAAGCTATAGGTACTTATACAGGGTGCTTATTCCAGTCAGTAAATGCCCCTATTCTTTCGTCGTTGAGGGGCATAGGCAGCTGTTGAAGATTCTATATACCAGAAGCAGCTAGAGATGGCCTGCTTGCCGATCACACCGGTTACCTTGATGCCTCAGAAGAAGAATGGTGGTGTTGCGATAAGCTCGCTAATGGTTGGAACCTGGATCTATGTGTCAGTGGAGATCGAGAGGGGAACGCGATGCTGAGCTGGAGGCCTGTGATGAGCTTGATGGCTGCTTGCTACACCCTGTGACAGGAGGCGAGATTGATGGAGTAGGTAGCAACTAGTAGCTAAGGAGAAAGGAAGGTCAGAGACTGGCAAGTAATCAGGGAAAGCGAGGGTATGGTATTCCCACGAATGGCTCAGACCGTCGTCGACCACCATGCTGCCAACGCTGACCACGTCACAGTCCGACTTCTGGTGACTGCAGAAATGGCTTTGTTGTTGTACGTGAAGAAGGAAGGAAACTATGAAGTTAGCTAGGAGACATGATCTGGTATATATAGGGGTTGACCCCTGACATGTGGGGCTGTCATCTGGTGCCGTGACAGACCAGGAGACAAGATGTGGTATTATAATACATCAAACGAACCATTGCGTACCCTACAGCGAAAAGCCGTCACGATCGCACGCTTCAGGAAGAATCACTATCCCGGGACGAGTACGGCGGTAATTTCGCCGCCCTACTGTGCGAAACCTCCACGACCGTCTCGTTCTTGACGACAATCCCACCGCCCATTTCCTCATCGCCGACTTCGCTCCTGCCGGACCCATTGGCCCTGTTGCCGCGACCCGTGATGAAGGTGCGTACGCCCCGGTGCGCATCAGAAGTACGTCTATCAAAGCCGCCAGCTGAACTGATTTCAGGTGTTGTATCTGCGAGCTGGTGCGTGGAGCTGGACTCGTCCATGTCTTCGTCTTTGCGCAGCGTCGCCAGTCTGATGGATTGCTTGGCGAAACCGTAACTATTCGATCCGGAGCGCAGGCTCGAGTTGTTGGGGTTGATGCAGGGGAAGCAGTAGAAGAAGGCGGGCTTGATGGTTGGGAGACAGGCTGTGGTGGTTGTAATTAGCCTATTTGTAATGTTGTCGAGGGGTAGCGCATCAGATGCTTGGCTAATGGGTTAACGTACTGGAGACAGTTACAAGATTAACTTCTACCGTAGCCCACAAGATGATAGAGCTGACGTTCCATGTGAAATCCGTGGAAGTCGGGTCGAATCTGGTCGAGACGAAAATAACAACCACCCCCGCGATGCAGATGCTAGGTAACAATATCAGCGTCAGCTCCTTTACTCACTTCCAACGACGCAAGAGGACTTACAAGATGCCGAACATGAACATGACCATGACGCCTAGCTTCTGAAGTTTAGGCAGACGCAGCTTACGGATCTGAACCACGGGTAGGGATAGTATAATGACATCGAGGATGACGTGCGCCAGGACGGATCCGAAGAAGAACTTCGAGTCATCGATCGTGCAATATCCTCCCTCGATAGACGAGTCCCAGAAGTAGGAAATGGGCTCGCAATGCCAGATGCCCATGATCGTCTGAGGACGACGAAGTACAAAGTCAGCAATCCGTACGGTCGGCGCATTGGGATGGACATGTCATCGACTCACCCGAATTATAATCCACGCACAAGAACAGCCCATGAGGATCTGGATGGCGAGCTTGATGTTCGTGACTCTGAACATCCTCCAGTAGAAGAACAGGATGGAGACCTTGCCGAAGAAGAGGGCGAATGCGTAGAACAGTTCGATGATATACAAGAGCTGTTTTGATCGATACAAGGCGCGCTCGACAGTCATGTCCTTGACGTCGTGGATGTGCAGGCCCAGACCCTCGTTGAGCCCTAGATGAAGAGTTCCTGTCAGCAAGAAGATTCCCAGTATCTCTTTTCCTTTTGGAATCCTTACATATTATAGTTATGGCGACCCAGGCAACTCCCATGAGCTACATAATCGTGATGTTAACATGAGTCTCTAAGGGATCCCTATCATTGATACGGAGACATCAGTGGTACTTACATAACATGCGATCGCTGCCCAGTCATCCCACCACAGCTCGACACGAGTCAATCTCCGGGCGAGCAGGCGCCATGAGATGCAGATGGTCGCCGGGATGAGAGTTACGAATATGACAGCCCAAATGGCCGGCTGCTTTGATTCCATCTCCGTCGTTCGAGTATCAGACCTCGACTCATCAACAGACAGACAAAGGAAGGCGTATATCAGAACGGTACTGCTGGATCTCCACCTCTCGCTGTGTGTAGACTAGCAATCAAGCAAGACAAGAGATCGAAATGGTCGGGACCCTGCGCGATCCAGAGTTCTTAACCACGATCCCGGGACCACCCCCCCGAGATCTGAAGACCAGGATAGCCATTGCAGCATCTCGTCGCACGGCCACTTGCCTAATCATGATTTTCTGCAGATCGTTGAGTGATCTGCAACGAGCGAAGAGGATGGTATCATGCAACACATTAATGTAGTGCGAAACCACCCCCACGGGGAGTGAGCCGGCTGTTCGGGGCTCGATATCAAGTGGATCGCGGCTACGAAGCGCGACACTAGAGACTATCGTGCTTGGACTCTAGGTGAAGATCAGCCACTCCGGTTCCTGCATTTCGTTAGATTTGCGAGCCGCGGCTGGTTGGTTCGCAGCCAGACTGTAGCATACCGGCATACCGTCCCGATCCTTGCGGTGTCCAAAGATAGGATGAACACCGTCCGCATCCCTAGGAGAGCATCGTGGCGCTGGCAGGTATGAGAAGTGGAATAGGACTAAAGAGATGGAGGAAGGTGAATCTCCTGATTTACCCCAGAAGGGGAATGTGCTGTGGTACGTCGTGATGTGGTTCTGATAGGTGAACAAAAATCCATGGTGCCTCTTGAGGATTGAACAGCCTACTATCCATGGGAGCCCCAGACCGACAGCTAGAACTCGTTATGCCAACTTGCAGTCGGCATGCACAAGCCAGTTTACCAGCCGTGCTTGACTCCTTGTTCAGGACTTCGTGACCTGATCCGAGGCAGCCTGCTCCCTCTGCTTAGAGAGAGATCATCACCAGTCCCATGCCGTCAAAAAGCCCATGCATCGAATCGACGACATCGAGGATACGAGTATGGAAATCGAGACTTGTTATCGAATCCGATCTCCCCAACGTAGATCAGGCCTACGGAATTCAGTCAAGCCGACGTCGTGCCAATTTGGTGGCAGAGACGGCGTCAGGGGTCAACACCTTAGCTGAACCTTGAATTTCGGGAACAGCCCGACAGGTTGTTGTTCGCGCGATCCAATTTCACGAGGGCCACCTCCAGTGTCTAATGGCCTTGATTCAGTCAGTACTGTCATTAAAACAATCAAGTAGTAGCAAACATGAGTCAGTAGGTGCGCGGAAATAGAACGGCTATGGTCCTCGATGGGACCGTCATGCCATCACTAAAATCAGCTGAGGTGTAGTCAAGATATCTACACTATCAACCCGCTCGGGAGGGTGTGGCCTTTGTTTACTATTCTTACTTGTTTACAGGACCTTTGGTCCCACCATATCTGAATGACCTGTGGTCACAAACCAAAATAACTCGATCAACGCGCTCGGGATCATGTTCTCAGGTTGCCCTTATAAGGAATATTACCCTCATTCCACGTCAACCTACCCATCTAGAAACGAACATCAACCCCGTCCACTACCATCCCGACGACCACCACGTCTGCCTCGATGAACCTTCAGACACAGAGTCACAAGATGGAAAGTCAAGCTTGAGCCACCGAAGAAGCAAGAACCCCCAGCATAGCCAACAGAGTGAACACAATGGCCGGCTGAGAATAGACCCAGCAAGCAAGAGCAGAACAGCCCTGAGGCCGGCATCACGCGAATAAGGATACCTTATATCGAGCATCCCAGCACACTCCCTGCCGGAGCCAGGCCTTCAGAGACGAGACAGCGAGGCAGCAAGCACCCTGAGCACACCTGCGATGGCCTCATGGACAGCTTTCCCATAACCACTCGACCTCAACCAAAGCACTCGCTACGGACGCCGCCACCCCTAGGGATCGCAGATAGCTGCTCAGCCCGAGGCACGTACGTTTAGGCATGGCCGTCGTCTTCGTCTTCTCCATCGTTGGGGCTTTCGAGATGCGCTACGTGATTAGCGGACTGTTGTGATATAGTCCTGCTAGGGGATGCAGCGGCCTTGAGCATAATCATGGGTGTCGCTGTTTTGCGAGAGGAAAAGATGTTGCTGGTATGTTGCTTCAGCCACTCGGCGCATGATGGGAGTTTGAGAGAGACGACGGATCTTCTCAGGTTGTCCGTAGCTACCTAGGTAGTTGTGTATCGAGCCTATTACACATACTTCATTCCGGGTTGCGGCCCATTCATTGAAACTGTCTCATCACTTGCCGCCGATGGCTTGCAGTTCCTGCATACACACACGAGACACATATTTTGTCTTCACAACTGTTATTTCTCGGCGCCAACGACTGCAACTATTTTTCTGTGATTAGCGACTGGAAAGCAGCCGCTTTAGATGCCAAGGCATTGCAAGTCCAGGCCTCGTACTATCCCATAAGACAACCTGCGAAGCAATATGACCCTTTCGCCTTTTCTCAGAGAATCCGCACTCCGTTCCGAGATGAGTGTATAAATTTACATGGACTTTTCCACCAAGCGAAAAGCTTCTCGGTCATTTACCCCTCGTCCGAGACCGCAGGCGTACGCGTGTATGACCCTTCCAGATTGCCAGCGACCATCAGCGGAAAATTCGACGCAAAGAACTCGTGCGAGGAAAACAGGCAGCTAGGAAGCCATGTAGGTGCTCGGGTCAATGCCGTCCTTGGGGAATTCACTAGGAAGATGTTAGTTGATGTGTGACTGACAATTACATTCAGGACACTTACGGGAGGGCGACTTCAAATCGCTTCTCAATAGCCTTCAACACTTCCTGATCGGTGTCGGTGCTGACGAATGAGATCGCGAGACCTTTGGTACCGAAACGGCCGGCACGACCGACGCGGTGCAGGTACGAGTCAGCGTCACCCGGCAAATCGTAGTTGATTGCTAGGTTAATGCGCTCGATATCAATGCCACGACCGAAGACGTCAGTGGCTACGCAGATTCGCTTGTTGAACTCCTTGAACTCCTTGTAGCGTTTAATACTACCGACCAGCCAGTTAGTACTTGCCCATGTTTTGAGAATGGACAATGATGAACTTACCGCTCCTCTTGGCTGACTCCGGAATGGACAGAGATGGAGGGGAAGTTACACTCGCGCAGTAGTTTGTCAAGCTCGGTTGCACGGACGGTGCTCTTGACGAAGATGATAACCTGGTTGAACTGGAGGTCATCGAGGAGCTCATTCAACTTTCGGTTCTTCTCGCGCTCCTCCAACTTGAGATAGTACTGTTGCAGACCGTGCAGCGTCAACTTGGTATCTTCGTCGACGTAATGCTCGGTTGGGTTCTGCATGAACTTGCGGCAGACCGGCTTAATTTCATCCGAGAGAGTGGCGCTGAACATCATCACTTGCTTCTGCATAGGAGTTGCGCGAAAGATCTCCTGCACATCTCTTCTCATATCTGGCCGGGTAGTTAGTACAGTGGTGAAAACATCAGAACCGGGCTGCTTACCGGTGGCGTCGAGCATCTTGTCACACTCGTCGAGGACGAAGATGCGGACACTTGACAGGCGCAGGAACTTGTCGCGAATCAGGGCGTTAAGTCGACCAGGAGTGCCGACAACGATGTGGGGATGCGTCTCGTTATTCTTGAGGATTTCGGCATCCTTCTGGATGGGAGTACCTCCGTAGAACACGCCAGTCTTGATGTCTGGCATGTACTTGCTGAACCGGTTGTACTCGTTGCGAATCTGGAAAGCCAGTTCACGAGTGTGGCACATGACCAGAACAGAGCATTCTCCAGCGACAGGTTCGACTTGCTGGAGCGTTGTCAAGACGAAGACGGCCGTCTTTCCGAGACCAGACTTGGCTTGACAGATGATATCACCTCCGAGAAGGGCCTGGGGGATACAGGTCTGCTGGACTGTAGGTATCGATCGAGGTTAGATAGGTTTCCCAAGACGGTTGTGTGAAGGACGTAAGAGTGGGGAGTCGACAAGGTCCGTCCATCATCGCAGCGTTGTTCTTCAAATATATATAGGCTCCAACAGTCCGACCTCGCGAATCTTCGACAGGGCCATCGGCAGACGGCGAGAAATGGTGGGCGCGGCGCAGCACCCGTATTCTAGGATGCATCGAGGCTCGTAGCCAAGGATGTTGGTCCATCATCGATTGAAGACAGAGGATTCATCGCTTTCGCAGATGCCTCGAATGCCTTTCGCTGCGGGCGGCTCTCTCGAGCCGACTAGGCTTGACGCGATAAGCGCGTGACTGTGGGGTCGGCACGCCCCTCCAACCCAGTGGTTCTCCTCCCATGTTTTCGCGAAAACGCGACGAGAATCGGATCCGGCTGATGCTGACACCAGGCTCCACCGGCGGCCTTTGCTTATATTTGCTTGCGACATGCTTGCGAGATGGGACGGACGCTTGAGGAGGGAGGGAGGTATAACTCTTGATGAAGCTGGGGTGTAAGATGTAGTAGACTAACCCTCCGAAGGATGCTCGAAACCGCAGTCGGCGATGGCGCGTAGAAGCTCGGGCTTCAGCAGGAAGTCGCGGAAACCAGTCGAATGGATGCCGACATAGGAGCCCTTCTTGTCGACATTGTTGCCAGCCGCAGGGGCGTCGGTCTTCTTGCCGTTGGTGGCGGCGTTCTCGTTGGTTGCGAGCTCCTCGTCAGAGTAGTCGATGAGATCCTCCTCGGTAGACATGGTGATGGATTGATTGATTAGTGAGGTCGTGGGTGGTTGCTATGTAGCCTTACGAAGGCTGAGGAGGTGGGCAGGCGGACTGCGGGGAGGAAGTAGAGAGCGGCGCGAGGCGATCCGATTTATCGAGTGCAGAAGCGAGCTGCAGTAATAGAAGATTGAGGGCAGAACGGACCGAAGATTGGTAGACGTTTCGCGTGGTGGAATGGAAGTGGGAAGAGGCTGAGAGGTCAACTCCAGAAAGGCTGGAGATGGGAGATGGGAGATGGGAGATGGATGCAGAGAGAAGAATTGAATCCAGATGCGCAAGCTGATGGGGGACAGCTGGAATGCAGCCCGCAGCTTCTGGCGCGCTAGGATTAGATAGACCTAGCGCCAGAAACAATGGGGCAGTGCTGCGCATTGTTCACTCCAGGCACCGACCCCACTGTCATGTCACGTGCTACTCACCGGGGTGGTGTGCTTCTCATTGTTGGGAGTAAAGTTTACCTGCTCTACACACTCACCAGTTCTCTGGGTCAAGTCATTCTTCAATGGAACTCGACCTCTGCACAATACCTACCCATATCCCGATGGTCATTGTTCTCAGGTCGAAACCAACAATCACAGGTGGGCCCCAAGTTACATTGTCCGAGCTGCAGGCTCTTCCAGGCAAAGGACTAGCGACCCTCTCACTTCGAACTCACTGAATCAGAACATGGCGAAATCCAAAGCAGGTAGCGTGCCAAATAGGCACATCTATTCACGAATTTCATATCTCTACCAAGCAGCAACCTACCTGGAGAGCCACAATACGAAGCAAAGCCCTGCTCACTCATCGCCAACAGCCGACGATGAAACTGGGCAGTTGGGAGGGCAGGAGCTCCCGCCAACCGCCCAAGCCAGCCAAACTCTGTCACGGCGTTTGCTCACGGATCTCCGCACCACATCACTGAAGAGTCAGATACGTCTGTCTCGCGCCATGAAGCACACTATCTGCAAGTTCTGCGACAGCCTGCTCGTCGAAGGAGAGACGAGCACGTCCACGGTGGAGAACACGAGCAAGGGTGGTAAGAAGCCCTGGGCAGATGTGTTGGTCGTCAAGTGCAACTCCTGCGAAAGGGCGAAGCGGTATCCTGTTGGAGCTCCTCGTCAGAAACGGCGTCCAGTGCGCCCAACACGAGAGCAGGAATCCGATGAAAAGGCACCCACATTGCCAAAGGACGACGTTGACGTCGTCATGGAGGAGGGCTGATTGACAGCACCACCGCCACCAAAGCCAATGAGAACTACCCCATATGCCGCCTGTCCGCTGCCCAGGCCGCTGTCCGGGCCGCTCAGCTCTACATCGTATGCATGCTACTCATGAAACGATGTGGTGCTCTCCTCCCCGATCAGGCCCAATTTGCGTCACGAAAACTTGCGCACCGATATCCGGTAAGAGCACTGCAACACTACGACGCATCAGACCTGACGGAGAAAGAGTAGGCAAACGAGACGCGAAGATGCCTCATAGGGGCCACTGGATCTTTCTTGAAAGATACCGCTGGGCGGCGGACTTGGCGCGATCTCGTGCTATCTCTACAAACCATGCATGTGATTGGCGAGGTTGAGACACATCATCGATAAAACCCTGCCACGACCTAGAGGGACTAGCCACATTGCCCAAAGGTAATACGCTGCCTACCGGAAACGCCATAGCGTATGTACTATTGCTGGAGTCGGGTTCGAACCGTTTCAAGGAGAACACCTGACATAGGCCGTGCATCTACCAAAACCAACTACTCTGGCTTTCTACACTCAAATAGACGTGTAAATTCTGCTACCATATCCCGTGGCTCGTTTGCACTGACCAGAGTAGCCCTGAGCATTTCGACTACTGTGATCAGTCTTGAATAAATGCCCTCGATGGGCCATGTTGGCTGTATTCAGGGGGCACAGCCACACCCTTACTTACAGGTGGCTTTCCCCCCTGTAGCTGGGACATGGAGTCCCACTCTTCTAGGCAGTTGCCAGTCAAGCACTTATCGCCGGACATGGAACCAACCGCCAAGATCTACACAGTAAAACAACACACATGTGCAGGTAACAACATTGAACCTCAGTCGTTGACGACCATGGCACACATGGCCAGGCAGCGCGTTGTTGCCTTGATGCGTGGCGGGCGTGAGCTGAGCGGTTGCATTCGATTGCTCCAGTATAAAGTACGACTGCTCACCCCGAGCACGACCCGCCGATTCGCATCTCGACTCTCCAAACCTCCGGCCTTCACTATGACGCAGTACCCAGGTATGGGCTTGCCTTTGAGGCATAACCATCAGGATCGCCTTGGCCACTATCCCATTGGAGCACACGACAACTGTCATGGCGCCCAGTCGGGTCTGCTCGCTGTCCGAGAGGTGGCGATGATGCTGATTAGTAAGTACCACTCGCTGTTCCACCCCCTTCTTACCGTCTACTCCATGCGCTATTTGGAGGCTTGAACCGATATCCCTCAGCGAAGTCCAAGCAATGTATGAACTAGGAATGACTGACTTACGAACCTGCAGTGGATCGGCTGACGGATAAGCCGGACTGGGACAAGAAGGTTTTCGACGAGGAGATCGTGGCCAGATGGCGCAAGGAGGCACTCGAATATCCCGATGAATCGCTTTGGTCCCAAGCTACAAGCGGCAAGTCCATTTGGAACACGAGCGATGGCCCCCTCGATCACTCCACCTCAGGTATCCCCCCTCTCAAGGGGATCATGACCGCCGAGACATTCGACTACGTGAGTCGATCCGCAAGCCTTGGTCGGGCTGCAACATACTGACGGCCTGAAGTGTGTTCAGGAACTGCGAAGCAAAGCTAAGTACTATGCGACGTCGGGTGTTATACCCACCCTCGACGCCTACGCTTCTGTCGTCAAATTGGATTCCCTCGTACTGCTATTGCTCTAAGAACAGCTCCGCAAAGCGTTTGACACGTTGAAGGCAGACCACTCGACCTCTCCGGACTGGCATCCCAATACTGGTGACATGGTACAAGATCTCATCCACCCTTCCATGTACCCTCTTGTCTACGGCCGCAGCACAGTCTTGAGGGAGGAAGTCGTCGGGGTCAACGACTCAATTGCCAGGTGGGCGGGTAAGGGTGATATCATCGCGAAGGACGAGCATGAGCCGACCGATCCTGACGGCTTTAGCAACGTCGTACCGCCAAGCTTCTGGTCTGACACCTACCAATGGCTTCCGTCGAACATCTCCTTCCAGGAGGGAGGCGGCGCCAAGTTTACCAGCTATATCAACAATCTTCACCCAACAAGACATTCCGATGTCTATCGAACGATTGAAAAGCTCGTCGAGAGAGCTCTCCCGGCTTGGGACCAGGCCTAGGACTGTCTGTGGATTACGATCATAAAGAAGGCGCCGGGCGACTCACATCTCGATTCTCCCACCCCGATGACCCAGAGTAAGCAGTTTACAATATTTCTCTACAGCATTCTACAATAACCCCGAAATGTCTCTGTCTATACCGTATCTCGAGGCACTCGTTGAAGCATGAATACCGGATCTGGAATAAGCACCTTGGAATAAGCACTGTTGAAAGTGTGCAGGGTTTCCCTTGCTTATCCTATGGTGCTTATTCCAAACGTGTATTCTACACGACTCGAGGTAAAGGTATCTCCCAGTGGAAGGGGTTGGCATTAGACTTCCGAGGCCTCATCGCATCCAATGCAAGACCCTCACATCAAAAACGCAACAGTGACGAAAACGAGAAGAACTGGGATCCCTCAAACAGCGATGCCTTCGCCGACACCGAAGTAAACTGGAAGGAACAAGATCCTGATGCATATAACCCAGAGTGGGATGACGAGACAGTGAAGAAGTGGGAGTTACCGCGCAAGCCTCGGCAGCCGCAGCCAGGTCCGTTCGGCGAAGGACCTACGTACATGCCAAAGAAAGCTATGCGACTGGCCGAGAAGTTCAAAGAATCTGGCTTGCAGATTATTGTCAAGATGGCAAGCATAGAACTGACTCCAGAGAAGCCGGAATTTCCGGCTGGAGGCTGGCATGTAAGTTTTCAGTCATACACCCATCCGCGGTAGCATGTCTGACGGACCTGAGGACACGTGGAGGGTCAGATGAACGAACACATCTGTGCCACAGCCATCTCATACGTTGACAGCGAGAACACAACACCATCTAGTCTGTCGTTCTGCATGCGGACTTCGGATTACCTGGATGATGAGTATCAGGTCGGTCAAGATGCTTACCACTGGATGCAACAAGTGTACGGGACGAATCTTGGATGTGGTGCTATGGGCACTTGTCTGCAGAACTATGGTAGTGTTGAGACACGCGAGGGAAGACTTATTGCTTTCCCCAATGTCTTGTGAGCCCAGTCTCACGCCTAGTACGTATGGTCGAAGACTGACAGTATGTTGCTAGCCAACACCGCGTATCTTCCTTCCGGCTCCAAGATGCAACCAAGCCTGGCCACCGACGATTCATTGTGCTCTGGCTCGTCGACCCTAACCTCCGCGTCATTTCAACCGCCAACGTGCCACCCCAGCAACTGGATTGGTAGGTCGAGTCTGCCTTCGGTCAATCAGGGGAGTCGAGGAATGCAGTCACGTCGAGGTTGCCTCCTGAGCTAGCACAACCACTCCACGAGAAAGATGCCAGTGTGCCCGCTGCTTCACAGCGAACGTTTCCTACAGAGCTAATGGACATAATGCGAGCTCACTTTCCCGGCGACGGCGAAGGCAGTTCTGCACTCATGACACATGAGGAAGCCAAGTGGCATAGGGAGAAGTTGATGAATGTCCGCAGCACTGTCCACGATTTAGTGAAAGACAGCTGGGAGGGGCATGCTTACGACTTCTGTGAGCATTGAGAGTCTATCGATTGGTCTTTCAGAAGCCGAGAATGGGGATCGTGCACGGGTCAGTCAGGCAGCAGGTCAAATCGGAGACCGGCCAGCTGTCCGTGTGGAAACTGTAAGGGTGTTGAGGATGTGAACACATAAACACACGAGCGACCCAGATGGGTTCTGCCGCACAATGTTTTTCTATTCATTTGCTCAGCTGCATAGTCGGCTTTGCAAGCTGGTCCATTCGGCCATACACCCAGAGCTTGGCCTATGCTGGTGATACTGTGCGCGGACTGCTCCTTGTCGGAGGGCGACGCGAATTCGGACGCCCTCGATGCCGCTGAGGCCACTGAGAACGAATGTGACCTGGCAGCTTGGCGATAACCTGTCTGTACCTTCCAATGAGCTACTGCATCCTAATTCCTCGTCTAGCCACAGGACAAACGGTAGCAGAGTCACTGCTTTGAGACCCTTCATGAGTTCACATTTTCCACAGCGAAAACGCCGAATAGCCAGCGACTCCGACGGCCGAAAAGATGCCGACCCAGACTAGCAGGACCTTCAGCAAGATTTTCGTGGCATATTGGTCTGCTGCTTCGGCGTCATTCGCCCGCGGGAAGGGCTCGTCGCGTGGCACAGGCACGCCCAGAAAGTGGCATAGAGGTTCCCAGCCCTGGCTCAAGTCCATCTCCAAAAGGTTCTCCTTCGGAACGAGTGATCTGACCCTCTCATTGTGAGCGGTTAAGATGTCTGCCAGATGATTAGCGACGTAACATGGCGGGAGAAGTGACGGGAGCGTACGGGGACCACCCCATTTGATGAGGTCGGACGGATGAACGTTCTTCTCGTTCATACCGGCGAGTCGCAGAGTCGACCGGCAATACAAACTCGCAAACTTCGGGATATGTCTCCATCCCGGGATCGGCGCAACCACCACACCAAGCCACCACGGCGTCGTCTTGCTGGTTAGAGCTGCGATGCTGTTCCACCACCTCTCCGGATCCCGACGGACCAACACGACCTTGGCGTCCGGATAGAGCTCCATAATCTCTGGCAAGAAATCCGACGGTGGCAGATCTGCGGTCGCTACGAACCCGGCCGTCGCCTTCCGGACCAGCTTCAGGGTCAGCTCCCGGTCGCCGGCCTCTCTGGCCTCGTATGCTTTGATCCATGTGGAGCAGTAGTCTAGGAAAATCATCATTCTGGTGTTGAAGAGTCATTGCTATCGCGCTTACTTACCATCGTCGCGCAACAGGATTTGGGTACCGCCATGGAGTACTGGTCCGTCTACCAACTTGGCTAATGCCATCGACATGGATACAGTCCCCGTCCGCGAATAGCCTGCCGAGATGACTTGGATTCGCCGTGACGGGTCCGTTGGTATAGAAGCGACCCCACCCATGATTGAAGCCGATTCGAGAAGAAAAGACGGGATGGGAAGGGGACTTGTTCGTTCAGTCACGAGGACCCGGATTGATCGAAGATCGTCACGATGTGAGCGGAGTGTGATGATTGAAAGAGGGATGAGTTACGTACCAAAGGGTCCGACGGTACCGCGGCTTATGCACTGTCAGCCAGATAGGCAGGTAAGCAGGGTAGGTGAGTAAGGAGGTAGGCACACCTTTCCCCTATTTACCAGTGTCCCGCGGGGCCGGCACAGCATGGCAGAAATGCACATGTCGTATAACGTTACCTTCTTAGAACTTGGGACGGGATATTATTCCCACCCCTCCCTCCCTCCCCCCTACCCCTACCCCTTTCCTTTTCGTCGTCCCGCCCCATACGCCAGCATCTCGATCCCCGATCCTCTTCCTCAAGATGTAGCCATCGGCTGAATCCTTCGGCGCGGGCCGGCTTATTCGCGGCTGTTATCTTATATTCAAGAACAAGGAGTCCTTGCTCGACAATCTGGTAAACGCGCCAGCATCAGCATATCACACCGCATGGTACTTTGTGGCGGCGGCTCGTATCACCGTAGCATCAGCTCTATCACCGCCACTCCTGGGCCTCTTTATCCAACTGAAATTCGAATCACCAACTGAAAAGCTGACCCCGAGCGGTGTGGTCCCTTACTCCGTCCTATTCATAGAAGAGGGGTACAGTGGAGGGGGTGAGACAAAGCTGACAGGGCTGACAGGGCCTGATGAACAACTCCCAGCTCTCAATACACCCGAAGATCGGGGGGCGCTGTTAATGACTGCTATCCAGGCCAAGGCTCCGTTACGACTAAAACTCGCGGTATCTAGGACAGTATATACTCCAAACCACATTCCCAATGTAGCTGAGTTGAACAGCATGCAGGTAAATTCGGAGGTCGCGCGACAATGAAGCGTCCCGTCTTGCTTCCTCTACGGTGCGGGAGTATGTGGCGATGGCCTTGATGGCCTCCTCGCGGCATATGTCCTTTGCATCTGCTTCATCCACCGACCGTTCCTTCATGATGACCCAGATAGCGTTGAACACGTAGTCCTGGCCCGCCCGGATGGCGTCAGCCTCTTCCTTTTTCCATGAATACAGGTCGTTCACAAGACCCAGAGCTATGTAAGCCGGCCTGGCCATCTCCATACACAAATCCATCTCTCCATCTGGGATGGTCAGGGCCATCCCGAAGGTCAGTGTACCGAACCAGATCCTGGAAGCAGATGAGTGACTGATGCGCCAACAGAGGCAGCTTGGGTACCGGTAGTCCAAACTCACAGCTCGCCAGCGTCGACCGCCCGCGCAGGCATGTACTGATCCAGTGTCTCAAATGGGGCTGATCTCGTGCGAGCCGCGGACTGAACGAATCGTGCCCATGCCTTCATAGACGTGATTGCTCGTTTGGCGTCTATTGCCATCATCTCCGAGAACAGTTGCGCCTGTAGTCGTTTCTCGGGCCGTGCTCCGGGGTCAATCTTCAAGTCTAGAGCGCCAGCACCGAACGTGTCCAGGAACCCGGCAGTGCGTCCCAGGCCCTCTTTCAGGTCGAACCGCTCCAGCCCATCTGTTGCATGGTCAGTTTACCACGTCAGGTGTGACTTGCGTATACCAGGAAGATCTTACCGTCGTAAAGAAAGGCAAACTCGTTTGCGTAGGAGATAACCTCAAGTCTCTCAGGCAGACACTCTGGGACAGTGACGCACATGAAGCTGTAAGGATCCCCGAGGCCTCCATGGTATCCGTCGACAGCATCGACGTGGTTGCTCCAGTCTTTCTGGGCCCGGAGCGTGCCCTCGATCTCTTTAGCTTGGTCTTTATGTGTGCGAAGCGGAATCCCATAGCCAAGCCCTTCGGTCACGTAGACGCTGGCATCTACTTCGGTAGAGTAGCGAAACTTCATCTCTTGAGAGTAAGGGAGGAAAGGGTCAGTATGGGCGATCCACTACCAAACAGAACCATTGCCGGTGGTGCTCGCAGCATCAGCCAACCCATCCTAAATACCAGTCTTGAATCGGACATAATCCCCATGGAGGGTCTTCCGTTCTAGCCCATCAGGGCACAAGGGCAGCGGCCCAACATGATCGACAGCGTGGGCGCCCAGACGGGGGGCCTACAAGGGGAAGTCTACGCCGGAGGAGCTGCATCTAAATCGTCATGCATGGGGGCAAGATAAGCAGCCCTTGCAAATCGGCGCTCGGGTTGCCCGTGTCACATCTGCATCGCATGCAGTCATTATAGTTAGCCGTAGTGATTCACATCGGACTACAAGAGACTGACTCCTGGCTACACCAACCCTGTTCTCTTTCCGAGATACCCTGTTCGCCTATCTTACCTACACCATCCACGAATCTCTCAGGATCCGACCCTTGAGGGCGAACCAGCATGGCTCTCGATTATTCAGTTCTTGGAGCAGCGATAGGATCATTGATCCTCGCACAATGCGTCTGGTTCTTCTCTGTCGTCGTCTACCGCCTGTACTTTTCACCTATCGCGGATTTCCCTGGACCTCCTATAGCTGCGGCGACTGGCTGGTATGAGTTTTACTATCAGGTCTTGCGTAACGGCAAGTACATATTCGAGATTGAAAAGATGCACAAGAAATATGGTAGGTGTATCTTGACCACCATTATCCGCCATCGAGTAAGGCAGCTAAGACGGCAATGCAGGTCCCATCGTCCGAGTCAACCCTGATGAGCTTTCCATACACGACCCGGAATTCTACAATGAGCTGTATGTCACTGAGAATAAGCGGCGGACTGACCACTATGACGCGTTTGGCAAAGGAATTGGCTTTGAAGGTAAGCGTGTACATCCAAGGACTGTGAATGGCCACTGACCGACTTCCCTGTCCAGATTCCCACCTGTTTACGAAGGAGCACGATCTCCACCGGGTCAGGAGGAAGGCCTTGGAGCCGACTTTCACAAGGATGGGCATCAATCGCTACCTGCCGGTGATTACAGAGGTAGCCCTGCATCTTGAAACCCGCCTCCGAGAGTACTCTGGTACCAACGACATCATCCGCCTAGACCACGCTTTCACTGCGTACACCGGCGATGTTGTGGGAAGGATGTGCCTTGATACCAAAGATCATGGGGACAGGTTCCTAAGCGATCCCGAGTTCTCACCCGATTGGTACGTCAACCTACAATGAGTGCTGTTGACGATATTGAATGAGGATCCAGGTTCAATGCGATGTATATGATCATCCGCTCCATACCCATCGCCACGGCATTCCCAACACTGGTCTTGTACGTGATCACCTGCCAGCCATGGAGGAGCCGACCTAGTTACTTAACACCTTTCTAGGATAATGAGCTACATCCCAGAGCGACTCTTTCTGCTCGCATATCCCCGCGGAGAAGGATTGCGCAAACTGAGGCAGGTGAGGAAGACCATGTGCCCCCCTTACTCGACCCAGCTCTGGCAGCTGACATCCGGTGCAGAAAGCCAGGGAGAATATCCGCAAAGTCCTGAAGAGCGACTCCGTACAGGACGAGAACGTCACGTCCCTCTTCCACCACGTCGTCAACAGCGACATGCCCGAGTCGGAGAAGACCGAGCCCCGGCTCGTGATGGAGGCCATGCTGATCATGGCGGGAGGGACCTGGACCAGCGGTCGTACAATCGGGGTAGCGTCTTACTATATCCTGTCCCGACCCGAGCTGCAACGTGCAGTTGAGGCAGAGCTCAGAGATGTAATGGTCAAATGGCCCCAAGTCGTCCCGGCATGGGCCGAGCTCGAGAAATTGGTGCTCCTCCAGGCTGTCATCAAGGAGTCCTTGCGGTAGGTTGCCCGCGTACTGTTTCTACCACCCCTCCCGACTTGACGGTGGACACTGAGACACGGGCAACAGTATCAGCTATGGCGTAATGCACCGCCTACCTCGAATCTCGCCCGATGTTCCCATTCAGTACAAGCAGTATACCATTCCACCTGGGGTATGTCACCAGAGATAGCTTTCGTCGACTTTATTTACTGACCGCCTTTAAGGTTCCAGTAGGCATGTCGTCGTATCTCATGCACACAGATACCAGCGTGTACGAAGCGCCACTCGAGTTCAGACCCGAACGTTGGATCGGCGACATCGACCCGGCGATGAACCGGAACTACGTGCCCTTCGCCCGTGGATCCAGAAACTGTCTAGGTATCCAGTAAGTGCATTCATTCACATACGCCCCCCTATATATGTGCGCGAGTTGAGTTGGATACTGATATCACCACCTCTCCTTCAGCTTGGCAATGGCCGAGATAGCCTATGCTCTGGCTGTGCTCTTTCGCCCCAGTGGTCCTCAACTGGAGGTCTTCGAGACAGATGAAAGCGACGTGCAGCTGGTTCACGACTTCATGGTCGCAACATCTCGTTTGGATAGCAAGGGCATCAGGGCTATCGTACACTGACTGACGCCTGCCGCCAAGGTAGCCACATAAGATAGAGGGCGGCTCGGGCCCGCACGTCCACTGCATGATGGTGACGACCATGTGATTTGGGCTGCATACGAAGCCTGGGATGTTACCCTAGCTTTGATCCTGTTGGGGTAAAATGGGCTGCATGGCAGTTCTCATGCATGGTACTGGGTTGCAGTGCAGCTTGCGAGATGTCGATCCAGCCTTCGTTGGACATGTGGCCTTCATTGTACCAGGTCTATGAGAGCACATCATGTTATAACTTATTTGAGTTATGGGCTCATAGAGGCGGCAGGATGAAGATAATCCTGCAACGATCGCATGGTGGCGTGCGCTACTGTTGCGTACAGTCAGTCTCGCTTCTACTCCGTGATCCCGACGTAACATTCAGGCGCAGGACTGCGCCGTCCCCGTGCCGTTCATGGGTATATGATTGGATTATGTATGGCTGAATCATCAGTGGTGGTCAGCAAAACACTATACGCCTTGACATGCATGAGCATACAGTGGCTTGAGTGGCTGCTACATGGCAGAGCAGAGGGTTGCAGTTGGAATCCTTCAGCTCTCTTCTGTTCGAAGAATCCTGCACTGTCACCCACCCACCTGCCCTGACGTGAGATCCTGAATACCCTTCAAAGGGGGCAGCTCTTTAATCCGGGCCAGCAGGCTCGATTCGCATCCGGATTACTGATGACTGGTGCGCAGCCCGAGATCAGTCAGTGTAGCTGCTGCTGCTGTCGTCCGTTCTCACTTCCCTTCCTTGATCCGCGTATCAATCTCGTCGCCTCGTTTTCGTCTTTGCAGCACGAAGTCAAAGAGACACATGTCATCACAGTGGTCTCAGGGCGTGGTGCCACCACCAGCAGGGGTAACGCCGAACTTCGTCGATCCGCCGAACCAGATGACAGAGAACATAGCGATCCACACCGTCTTCCTCACGCTGAGCACCTTGGCTGTTGCCATGCGGATATACACCCGAGTGCATATTTCTCGAGTGAATCTGGGTGCTGACGATTGTGAGTTTCCGCAAACGCACACCTATCATGATCGGCTACTGATGCTATAGTACTCAGACATCTGCCTCTTTGCACTTGCAAGCTACTCCCGAGCCTCGAACTCCAGGTACATGGACTGACGTCGAATCGACAGTGCGCGACGGCAGCATGGTCAGGATTACTTCTCGAGTGTATGCTGCTCAACTTATACTAGTAGGGACTATTCGCTGACTTGGTGGGAAGGTTTCCACTGGGGAATCGGCCGTCACATATGGGAAGAGCCGGCGACCTGGCTCGTCTCAGCGTTGAAGGTGCGTCTCCCAATGTCGTCAAATCGCGGCTCTACCAAGGCGAAACTAACCTCCTTTCCATAGTTTCAAACCATAGCGTCCCAGGTGTACCTCGTAGCCGCCACTGCGATCAAACTCAGCCTCCTCTTCCTATACCGTCGTCTATTCAACTTGAAGAAGAAGGCCAAGTACTTCGTCAACGGCGGGATTGTCGTCGTCCTCCTCATGGGCATAGCGCTCTTGCTTGCTATCATCTTCTTCTGCACCCCGGTCCGAAAGGCGTGGGATGACTCTGTCGAAGGCCATTGCTCAGACCCTGCCCCAGTCTCTTATCTCAGTGGCGTGTGGAATGCCGCCGTGGATGTCTACGTGCTGATCCTGCCCGTTCCACTGCTCTGGGGATTGAACATGAGCCCAAGGCAGAAGCTGAGACTCGGGGCCGTCTTTGGAATTGGTATCTTGTAGGTTGCGTCCCAACGCCCTTGCTCTGCCGTGTGGGTGAACACGATGCTCAACCCCTTAATTCTAGTGCCTGTGCGGCCAGCCTCGTCCGCCTGGGCTTCACGCCACTCCTACAGAGCGACTTGGACTCTACATACAACATTGCCTCTGTTTCAGTCTGGGCGTGAGTGACTCGCGAACGAACGCTCCCATCGTCGTATCGGAAGGTCTGACTCCGCTGACAATCAATCGTCTAGTACACTGGAAATCAACGTCGGACTCATCTGCTCCTGTCTCATGCTGCTGCCGGCCTTCCTGAGGTACCACCTCTCTGAATCAACGAAATCCTACTTCTGCGCCATCACGCTCAACGTGACGCGATCTGGGAGGAACCCATCGGCCAAGAACGCACATCAGTGGCAAGGGTACCATCACAAAGTGCATTCGGATCCTCGGAATCTCGTCGTCTCGGGGGGCAAGGAACACCACCACCATCAGATCACGAGGACGGATACTTTCACGCTGGAGACGATTCATGTGCCGGCCGACCTGGAGCGCGGTGCGACAACTCATCAGCCTGGACGTGCTTTCTAGGCCGCTACCACCTAGCTCCCTCGAAGTAACGCAGGAACCCGTGCATATTGTGTATATAGTGTACTAGTTTTGTTGTGCCTTTGGGAGGAACTAAGACACGTGAATAGGATACCCGTCACTTAATCCTGAGTTTTTCTTAGCATTGTCGTCACCCCCAGGATCCCCAACAAGAGAACCGCTGGATAACTTCACGGTAAGTACCCAGAAACGCCGTCACCAAACCTCGCCAGGTCGCTACCGGTCATTTCACAACTTCACCACGTATCCAAACTACCTCGCTTCACTAGCCATCTACGCCAGATTCGCCGTGCTCTCCGGAGTACTGCGATACCAAACCTTTGGTCGACCAGACGGCACACGTCACCACCTTGTAAAGCTACTTTCCATTAGTGACGATTCACACCAAGGAGCTCTGTACCACACAGAGTCCCACACCAATCTCATGGTCATTTCTCGAGATTTTCACTCTACCAGCGCTTCCGCACACTCAACACCCCAATCTCGTCAAAACCCCCTGATTCGAGCCATTAGGGCACGGCAACACGATTGATCGCAAAATTCCACAAGAGATCAGACGAGAGCCCCAGCTCGACAAGAACGCAAGACAAAACACCAACCACCAGGCCACCGCAGCCATCTACCCTCCGAGATTTCGATCTCTCTTACAATAACATTCAGAACCCCCCAAACTGCTCGTACCGGCACGAAACGCGTCAAAGAGATAACAACGGATATAACCTCTAAATATAAACGTAGTCTTCGTAACTTTTAATTCAAAAACCTACCATGAGGCGAAGACATACGAGCCGTCCGCTGCTCTTTGATAATCACAAAATACTTCCACCTGGGGTTATTAACTTCCTCAATGACACCTCAGCTGCTCCTGATATTCATTAAGTTTGCACCACCGCAATACAAGATGCTCGCGAAGTAGCCTAGTCCCAGATGGCCACCTAACACATATGCCCTTTCCAATACAGAGATTGATTGATTGATTGATTGTATTTATCGTGGGTGCAGTCCCTCAACAGGGCAAACCACGCCTCCCAGAGCCATTGCATCGCAAGGTTGTAGAGGTGTCAGTCTAGATATATTCAGATCCACGCACGAGCCTATCCTCGCTGTAGCGATACCAATCTGGAGTGTCCAGATAGTTTTAGTCAATATCTAAGCACAATTCTGTCAAAAAAACCTCTTATCTAGTGACAAAACGACCCAGTGGACCTCAGTCCTCTGGTGTACATATTGTTCCAGTAGCCGTTCGATATATGTCGCATTAGTGGGTGAAATAGGTATTTGTTATCTATTAATGAGGGAAACCATAAGAGGAAAAACTTTACAGGAATAGGTGTTATGGAGACAAGCTGCTTGGCTATCAGGCTCTGCGATAATGGGGCCTCTTTATTGTCATGTGCTGGTTGTCGACTCGCACAAGCTGGGTCAGAAGGAGGCCATAGCAAGATTCGAACCCACTTGTTCTCGTCGCCCACCGCACAAACGAGAACACAACCAGGCGCATTTGACCATTGCGCCATACGGCCCAATACAGAGATCAGTTCATCGAAGCGTAGGCGGCAAGAACGGACCCAGGAGAAGGAAGCAGACCAGCTCCTCTGTGTCGGTAAAACCCCCAGCTTTCTCTCCTCTCCTCTCGTCTCTTTTCTCCATCAACATTAATACTCACGTTTTCGGTCTCCTTGGAATGATCAGTATCATTACCCATCCTTACCAACGCCAGAAAATCAGAAACACCCTCGATCCCCGCCCTCTCCCCTTTAGACGACAATAGCAAGTCAAGCACCATGCCCAGCGCCGCCCACAGCCCCTCGCGTTCCACTGCACGCAGTCAAGATATTCCACTGCTCCCGATCCACCGAACTCTGGTGGACAGCCGGGGACTTTGGAAAGCTTCCCAGTATCAAGCGAAAGCGGTATTCTATACCAGTTTGAACTTTTCAGACAAACTACAAGCTGGACGGACAACGGCTTCAGGCGCCTCACCCCGGAAGGTCTAACTATAACATGACCCGGCCTATATCGAGTTAACATAAAAAGGGGGGTTTGAGGTACGATTTAATTGCGAAACAATTTACGACAAGATCGCAGACCGGGAACCCCCCAACATTTCCGTTGCGACATAGAAAACTACTCCGGCGTTCACGCTTGCTCTGAGTGCTGATTCGTGGTACCATGTTTTCTGAGATATGAGGAATCGGTTCGTCAGTCGATATACCCGCACTGCTGGGCATCCTTGGAGTAAGCTTACGGACGACTACTCCGATAGGCCTCTACCTCTTACAGCAATGCAACAAAGATCAAGACAGTGATTCGTCCCAGGAGCTACGTGAAGAAAATAATAACTCCCCAACTGCGGCTCTCTTACAGGACTTTGACTCCCTACTTGAAGTCCTTTTGGTCTCCAAACGGTGCTGTCGAGCATGCGCCCTGGTTGCTAGACTCTTCCGTGACAATTTTCGGTAGAGACTCTCCAGCAGCAAACACTTTTACATCTACCATCGACTCAAGCCCTTTACTCTGACGCATATCTATCAAGCTCCTGGGTCATGTGCTTCATCTTGACGTCCGACCAGAAGTGGCAGCCGCCGACCAAATTCCCTCAAGAAAGATCATGCAGGTCGAAGACAAGGACAAGGACAAGGACAACGCCCTGATGTGGGTGCCACACTTCGAATTCCCGTGATAAAAAGCCTTTCAACAGTCTCCTAACTTATACGCCCAGTTAACATTTATATCCTAGGCCACCGCCCGCGAAGCGCCCCAAGGGATGCTCAAGGGCAGGTGTTCCATTCTTATCACCGACCTTGGCGATACCGTCTTCCATCACATGCTCCAAGCACTTGATTGCCTTGCAACTGTGAGCATCGTCCACCAAGACATAAAGCCGGAGAATATTCTCTATGTATCACGGCCAGACCAACACCGTCTCCAGCCCGGCGATTTCGGCCTCAGCAACCACCAAATCACCGCAGCGACTTTTGCTGGCAGTATGCCCTACATGACTCATGCAACCTCTCTAATAGGGTCTACCACTGTTTCTTTTCTTTTATCCAACCAGTCAGCTAATATTCTGGTCTTTATTCCCATTGCGAGATACCAGGCACTGAAGGCACACTCTGAGTTTGTTATACTTGTAGGATAACACAACCATGAGTCAATCCACGTGTTGCTCGGGGACGATCAACAACATATCGTCTCAATGGTTGTAAAAGGCGTCATGCTGCCAAAACTTTCCCGTTTGCAGCCGCAACTCAAGCTTGTTCGCCACAAGGCAAGGGTCAAATCAATTACACGCTAGTCCACTGGTGTACACGCTAGTGGAGCACTTTGGCGTACATCCACTGGAGCTGAAGGGGTCATCCATTACATTCAAGGCTTAGTGTAATTGACGTAATGGACGAGTGTATGACAGTGGATGAAATATGGGCTCTGATTGGTCCAAAAATCTAAGAGCCCCGTTTTTTACAAAAAAAAAAATCCTGAGCTTCCTATAGGATCTGAACGTAGCCTTTTCCGCAAGGCAAACTTTGCGCTACCATACCACTATACCAAGATAATGCGCATTTAATCAAGAGTTGGGCATTATATCACTGGTAGAAACATTGACATATGATTTCAACCACCTAGCTAGCTAGCATGCAAATTCTGAATGCAGTCACCAAATGGCACAAACAACATTCAGACCACGCAAACCACTCCAAAGCAGGCAAATCATTCAGATTCACTCGAATACGACCCAACCACTCGAACTCACCTGTTCATTCAATTTTTTCGCCTCGAATTGCAAGCAGTACCCTCAGCACGCTTCACCATGGCCGGTACACCCGAATCCTCGATACACGGTGGCTCCGAGCCTCCCAACAACGTCCCTTTGTCCGCAACCCCCTCGCCAGCACCCCAATCATCTCGACGAGAATCCCTCCGCCACGGCATCTCTCAGCATCTCTCAGGGCGACGAAGCCTTCCTTTTTGCGTGTTTTCATGGCTACACGTGGGCTCAGTGGAAGCGAGGTCTCAACTCCTGGGCCTGGGATCACGGATATGACATCCAGAAGGGTAGGACCTTCAAATGGGTGTGCCGATACTGTATCACTCGCCGCAATCCCGTACCCGATTCTTTCATATCTGCAGGCCTTCAGAACGCCATACAGCACCTGTATCTAGTCGAATCGATCTCTGCCCCTGGGGGTGAAAAGACCAGATCCAAGGCACAATTACGAGCCGAAACAATCAACGATACGAGCCAACAACGGCTTCACCGATATCTCTCCGTCAACCTAGAGAACCCTCGAGACCAAGCAATAACCAATAGCATGCTGAAGAACTTCGATCGAGATACCTTTCACCGCCTCCTTATGGAATGGATCGTCGAAGAGAACCTTCCTTTTGCTACTGTGAATCATCCCAAATTACGCCTTGCACACGAATACCTCAACCCGTGTATCACAGACCAAAGCGGGCACATCTCCTCGACCGGGCTACGCAAAAAAATCATACGCGAATTCCAACGGCACAAGGGAGCCATCATCGAGGCGTTGAGGGCTTCACCTGGCAAGATACACGTATCCTTTGATGGCTGGCGGTCAGGTAATCATCGCGCTTTGTATGGCGTAGTCGTCTTTTTCAGAGATGAATACAACAAGCCTTGCAAGCTAGTTCTCGGCATCCCCGAGGTCTCCATTCGTCACACATATCAAAATATTGCCACGCAAATCGTCGAAGTCTTAAAGATGTTTGGTATTGATCATAAGATCGGCTTTCTTATTCTCGATAACGCTGCCAATATGGATACGGCATCAACCGAGATAGGGCTAGCCCTAGGCTTCGAGGGCAAGAAACGGCGTGGCCGGTGCTTCGGGCATCAGTTGAATCTCTCTGCCAAATCCTTATTGTTTGGTACTGATGTTGAAGCATTCGAAACAGAGATCAGCAAGGTCAAATCTCTTTCGGTTGCTGAACACGCGTTGTATCACCGATTAGGC